AACTAATCACAGAATGTTCTTTAGGCACTCATCAAGTCGAAGAATTACTGTCCTAATTGTCTATTTTGATGACATTATCTTGACAGGCAATAACTCGGAAGAGATGCGCCACTTAAAGAAGAACTTAGCTACAGAATTTGAGATCAAAGACTTGGGCCCCCTCAAATATTTCTTAGGTATGGAGGTAGGAAGATCAAAGAAAGGAATTGTTGTAAGTCAACGGAAGTATGTTTTACATCTGCTGAATGAGACAGGTATGAGTGGGTGCAAACCGGTAGATACACCAGTGGATCCCAATGTTAAGCTAGGCAACAGTAAAGAAGGAGATCCGGTGGATAAAACAAGATATCAGAAGTTGGTTGGTAAACTGATCTACTTATCTCATACTCGGTTAGACATAGCCTTCGCAGTTAGTCTCGTTAGTCAGTTTATGCACTCACCAAAGAATGAACACTTAGAAGCTACCTACCGTATTCTAAGGTACTTGAAGAATTCTCCAGGGAAAGGCCTATTTTTCAAAAAAGAACACTCAACATAGGATTGAAATCTACACCGATGCGGATTGGGCAGGATCCTCCACTGATCAGAGATCAACAACATGATATTGTTCCTATGTGTGGGGTAATTTAGTCACTTGGAGAAGTAAGAAGCAAAGTGTAGTAGCAAGAAGCAGTGCTGAGGCAGAATATAGAGCAATGACCAACGGAGTTTGTGAACTATTATGGCTACAACGGATATTGACTGAGTTAAAGTTGCCTATAGAAGCCCTTATGAAGTTATAGTGTGACAACAAAGCTGTAATCGGCATAGCCAACAACCCTGTGCAACACGATCAAACTAAACATGTTGAAGTTGATCGACATTTCATCAAGGAGAAGCTTGAGGGAGGAATGATCTGTATGCCATTTGTTCCAACGACACAACAAACAACAGATATCCTCACAAAGGGACTGTTCAAGTCATCGTTTGACTTTCTTGTTAGCAAGTTAGGTTTGCATGATATTTATGCACCAACTTGAGGGAGAGTGTCAGAAAATAGAAGATTTTATTTCCTAATAGAGAATAAAATTGTTTACTTTCCTATTTTCTAGTTTACTTTTTCTGTTTTTGAATAAAAGGACCGAATCCCTTAGTTTGGGGTAAGGTTCCTAGGAAATAGGGTAGTTTCCGGATTCTCTTTAGTTAGTTTCCGGATTTAGGTAGTTTCTGGTTTTGTTAGCTATTTGTGAGCTGTCAAGCGTACAATGTATCCTATAAATAAGATGCATGCTACCATGATTGAAATAAGAGAGAAAATAAGTTTTTTTCTCAAAACCTACAGGTAGTTGTTCTTCAAATCGAGTTTAGAGAAGAACCGTGCACCGGCTAGTTTGTCGAGCATGTCATCGAGACAGGGAATTAGAAACTGATATTTCACGGTGATTTTGTTGATAGCCCGACTATCCACGCACATTCGCCACGAGCCATCTTTCTTAGACACTAGAATTGCCGGCACTGCACATGGACTCATACTCGGGCCCTCCACCATCTCTTAGAGAATGGCATGCTCGCGCGGGCTCATACGGTAATGTAGGAGATTTGGTAGGCTAGCGCCGGGAAGGAACTCAATGTGGTGTTGAATGGACCGCATTGGAGGAAGGTTGTTGGGTAACTCGTTGGGCGCAAGATCTTGGAACTCATCAAGGAGTGCTTGGATCTCTAGTGGTGGTTGGAGATTGGATTCTTGAGACTCGGCCACAATGAGAGCTAATGCATAAGCACTCTCTTTGAGGCATTGAGTGAAGGAAGCTCCGAAAATGGCCAAAAGAGTGGGCAAAGAGGTGGACTCTTGTGATGGAAGTGGTGCCGTGGGAGCAAGGGCGATCTTACGGCCCTTCCACTCAAAGATGTAATTGTTCGCTTTTCCCGGGTGAGTGGCGTTGACGTCGAATTGCCAAGGGCGGCCAAGTAGGAGGTGGCTAGCGTCCATATCCACAACATCACAAATGGCCTCATCCTTATAATATTTGCTGATCGAAAAGGGCACTCGACATATCTCTTGGACCTTGGTGGCAAACACCTTTTTGATCCACCCTATTTTATAAGGATTTGGATGCTTCTCCGTCTCAAGTGCGAGGGCTTTCACCAAGGACTTGGACACTACATTTTCGGAACTCCCAAAATCGATGATGACATTACACACTTTTTGAGTCGATAGTGTACCGAGCCCTAAAGATGGCATTCCGTTGAGTCAAGTGGCCTTGCTTGGTTGGGAGCATAAAGTAGCTTTTGTATAATGCAAACCACGGCTTCCCCTTCATCGCCGTGAACTACATCGGCATCCGCAAACTCATCTCCACATTCTCCGAACTCCTCCAAGTTCTCTTCATTGTCACCCGCATATCCAAGTTGGTGCCGTTAAGGGCACTCATTAGAATGGTGGTCGGGCTGTTGGCAACAGTAGCATTTGATTGGAAAGGGCTTGGCATAGTGGTTCTGTGGAGAAGCTGTGGCCACCTTCCCCTTGTCAGAATTGGGTTGTGTTGGTCTGGTAGGAGGGGCGGCTGGTGATGGGCTCAGTGCTGGTGAAGATCGGCTATGCTCAATTGGATTCAGTGGAGGTGGTCGGCAAAATGTGGAGGAGCGGGAGGCTGTTCGAAGAATCTGTTCTTCAGCTCGTTGGGCCAAGCTCACAGCCTCAGAGAGACTCCACATGGGGCCCTTGACTACCTTCATCAGTCCTCCCTCCACTTTGATATTGAGCCTAATCTCATCCAACATACCCACTGAAATGAGATTCCTCCTTAACTCTAGAACCAATCTGACATTCTTGAGTGTTCTCACAGTCCCATCATCTAGTTTTAAGGAAACATCCCTAACTCCAGTCATTGCACACTCCTTATTGTTGCCTAATAACACCTTCCCTCCCTCAATCTTGGTTATGGTAGAGAACCAAGCTTCATTAGGGGTCATGTGAAAGGAACACGCAGAGTTTAACACCCACTCATTATTAGATTTCTTATCTGAGATTGCCAACACCTCATAGTTGCCATAACTCTTATAGCCAATAGAAGGAACATCAGCATCCCCAGAGTCCTGTTGTTTTTTAGATCCTTTCTTCTTCCTTTTCAGGCAGTCACGTTTAAAGTGACCTGGTTTATAGCACAAGAAAGTTTTTTTCTTAGTCTTAGACTTAGATCTTGGTCTGTCCTTTGGCTTAAGATCTCTCTTTTCAGTCCTTCCTCTAGCTGTTAATCCCTCTGCCGAATCTTCTTCACCCTCTGATTTTCTCTTTAATTCTTTAGACATTAAAGCGGATTGTACTTCCTCTAGGGTTAGACTCTCTCTACCATACAACATAGTATCCACGAAATTCTCATATTGTACTGGTGAGCAGAATAACAGCCTGATCTTCGTCATCTACTTTAACATCAATATTTTCCAGGTCTAGGATAATCTTGTTGAAATCATCCAAATGATTTGAAATCGATTTACCTGGAGCCATTTGGAAAGTATGAGGACGCCTTTTCAAGAACAATCTGTCGGCGAGGGATCTTGTCATGCAAAGATTCTCCAGTTTCTGCCAAACCGCCGCTGTAGTCTTATCCTTCAAGACTTCCCTCAGTACCTTGTCACCCAGGCTGAGAATTATTGCACTATGAGCCTTCTCTATCAACTCCTTCTCTTGGTCTGACAGAGTGCTCGCGAGATTCTTCTCACTTCTTAGGGCATCTGAAAGCCCTTGTTGAACTAGTAGCACACGCATTTTGACCCTCCACAATCCGAAGTCAATTTTCTCAATGAACTTCTCAATGTCATACCTTGCCGAACCCATCTTGACCGCCATTAATGGTGACTCTGATACCAATTGATGGAATCTAGAACCAATTCCTACTGATAATTGAACGACCAAAACCAAAGAAAGCTTCACCACCAAGATTGAAATCACACACCAAGAAATTGAGGTCAATTTCTTTAACTGAGAGTGAAACAAAAAAACAAGAGAAAAACTTTATTGTTGAATCTTGCTTGACAGTAAACCAAAAATCAAGAACAACCTAGAACAATCTCGAGCCCCATGAAATTCTCTCTCACAGCCCTTTCTTGCTCTTTCTCGATCTCTCTCTCTCTAGCCCCAATTCTCTCTCTCTCTCTCTAAACCAAAGAATGAAAAAGTCTAACAGCAACCAACTATATAAAACCCCTTTGCTTGTGTCTTTTTATTTATTTAACAAATGTAACAATATTACTGGTAGTAATATTCCTAACAAACTAAACACCTACAAAGAGTACCCGTCATTAATTGGGACTTGACGTACTGCCACCTCTTCTTCAAAACATGATCTCAATCCTTAACAAATATCACTTTTATAATACATAAAGAAAAATCAATTTCACATAATTCCTTAAATCTTCTCTTATCATCTCTTATACCTATCTTTGTCAGAAGAAATTTCCTTAGAGAAGAAAAATTACCGTAATCTTTCTGAAACATTTGCTCTTGCCAAATTTTCCTTATTTTCCTATAAGAATTCTTATGTCTTGAGCTTCACGCTTGGAGTTCAAGGAAGCAAGTGGTGTTATAATTTAAATAGATTTCTCCGTTGTAATTTGTAAAAGACATTGAGGGTTTAAGAAGTTCAGAGACTATTACTAGAAGTCCATATAACCCACTCAAACAAAAGGAAGAAGAAACCTAAACTAAACATAACTTCCAAGTTCCACAAACACCAAGTGGGAGAATTGGGAGAAGATGATTAAGATATGAAGACAAAACCCTTTTCAGATGATTAGTGTTCATATGGTCAACTAAAGAGCCCAAACTTCCAAATCCGTTTGTCAATCAACCCCGATATAACTAAGTCACCCTAATAACAAACTTTCACCAAAGTTTTCAGCATCAGAACTGAAATGAAATTATAGTAAAAATCTAAACGGCGTATTTAAACTGAGGGAAATGAAAAAAAAAAATGCTACGTTCTTGGGAAGTTTTGACAAAGAACCCAGAAAGAGGAACTCACAGTTTTTCCAACTAGTGTTTCACCAACTGGCTCTCCAAGCTTTCTCTCCTTTATAGCAATTTGCATTTCATTCTGAGCAATTACAAAGTTACATAGAAATTAAGCACACAAAAGAATTCATAGACAAGAAATCAGTATTTTTAAATTAAAATTTTATGAAAAATTAAGTTATGTTGCTATTTACAAGTACGAAGCAAAGCTTAAAGCCAAACACATTTCAAAAAAGCAATCCAATATGTTTAGTGCATAATTCCTCATCTTTCAGGGATTCTGATCTCCAAATAAAGTACCTAGAAATTGATAATTCGTAATAGTATCACCAGGTTAAGGAAACAAATAAATAGACTTTTACATAGTACATACTTGCTTTCGGAGAAGTCCAAGAATGAGATATATAGCCATTTCTGCACATGAAGCTGCATTACCAGTTACATCACCTGGAATCCTAGCTACTTTGATCCCAAACTTAGTTGCAGCATTAATATCAACACCTTCATCAAATAAAAAATAATTAAAAAAACCTTGTAATTAAGATGCACCCCCCCATTGGAAAGAAAAAACTGCAAGTCATAGTAGTTTGGCAACATGGAAATGACCTTCCAGACCAACACCAAATTGCATTATTAGCTTCATTTCTTTTGCACGAGCAATGATGTGAGAATCTAGCTTCATCATTTTCACTACACAGAGGTGATAATTTTCTATAACTTTGGGTACATCATCAAGAGGAACTTCATCGACCTACAGTATGGAATTGAAGATGCTATAAGAAAGGTAAACACTAAAAGCCAAAGTAGGAAAACTTCGTCATACTTAGATTTTTTTTTTTTTTTTGATAATTTCGTAATACTTAGATGTTGTTCAATTAAAAATGTATCAAATTTAGCATACATGAATTCATACCAAGCAAAATAAAAATAAATACAGAAAAGTTAGCCCAACTGTTAAAAGAAATTGGGAAAATTTTAATGGACATTAACTTGCAAATTGACATGCTGCGTCTACATGATACCCCAAATCCAAGGAAACGTGAGTCATTTTCTTGTCACCATTCAACCAAAGCAAAAATCTGTAGTGTCCACTGGAATACAGAAAGCACAAATTGACAAGTGAACCACCGGTGTCAAACAAGCATGAACGTACCCCAAAATATCTAAAGAGTTTTTTTCACCAGTTCCTCCTGAATTTGAAATTGTATTGCAATTGTAGTCCTATAGATAATGGATGTCAATTAATGGACATAATACCTCACGCTTACCTTTTAATTTCAAATTTGGACCCTAATTTTCATCAAACGTCTTTTATTGACTGGACTACATTGCCAAGGATTATCAAATTTAGGGTTCTAAATACCAAAATTAAAAGTTTGAGATTGAACTTCAAAACGAAGAAAACTTCAAAATGTACCGATGCTTGAAAACTAATTCCCACCGCTCATATAATGGCGTTCCATTCATCCAAGTAGCTCATTGTAGGCAAAAAGTCTACATAAAGAGTCAAAACATGTCTATTGTGAAGGCAAATCAGAAAGTTTTGGCACAACCAATTGAAATGGCGCAGGTCATTTTCATTTCCAATGACTCAAACATTTCCAAATTTATCAAACAATATAAAGCCCTACACCATTATTCTTCACAGAAATTCATAATTCCTTTTCCTTTTTTCTTTCCATTTCTCTTTTTTTTTTTTTTAAAGGAAAGAAAAACGAACAAAAACAATAAACTACACGTACAAATAATGATCATAATATATACTTCTGTTCAAGGATTAACTAAAATTAAAGAAGAAGAAACAGAGAAATGAAAAGCGAAATCATGGAGAGTGTACCTGTATAAAGGGGTAATCTTGCAAATACTGTCTGGTGTAATTATGCGAAGCGGGAAAGTGTGGTCCGCAGAAGATGACTCTGGTGATCTTCTCTTGGGCATTAACTACTTTCATCATTGCAGCAGCCATCAGCGAAGCTCACGAGGTCTTCTGTTTCGCCGCAACTCGGTAGAAGATACTCTTTTGATGTTGGTCCGTTGGACTGATTAGAACGAGAGAAGTGGCAAGAAGTAAGCTGCGAAATGCGGAATTTTAGGCTCGTTAATTGGAGTTTTATTATACTAAACAATTTTAAAAAATGGTGGCATTTAATTTTTTTATTATAATAAAAAAATATTTATATAAAATTATATTTTAATTTAAATTAAAATTTTAAATTAATGAATTAAATAAATTCTTATTTTATTGACCGTAAAGAAGTGCATTAATTTTAATTTTAGTCCATCAATTATCAGTGTCATCACACTTTAAATTCTGACCTTTAAAAAAACTCACAATTATAATTGATTTCAATTAATTAGTAATTGATATTGATTAATATTAAAAATTATAGAGTTAATCATTGCTAAATTTAAATTAATTAATGATTAATCGTAAAATTAATGAGTGATTAACTATTAAATTAATAAAAGAAACGACTATTTTGTTAATTTTACAAAATTTCAGCTATTCATTTTAAAAAATCCTTAACCTTTAAAATGATTTATTTTTAAATTATTTTAATTATCATGACTTTTTAATTGATATAGTATTTTAATTTATGAGTCGTGATATTATTGCATGACGTAAAAGGGGACATGAATGGATAAGGATATACGGGAGTCTATTCTATTTATATGGCAGGTTTACAAATTACAACTCTTTATTAATTATGATATAATTTTATATTTAAAAAAGAAAAATGAAATTTTCACATTAATTTTAAACGACTGTAAATATCGGGGATCGAAGTGAGATAGTGTAAAATGGAGGATTTGAAATTAATAAAAAGGAAGGGGAAAAAAAAAAGCATACATAATTGTTCCAATAGGGAAACTCCTGCCGACAAAGGAATTACATTACATACAACAGTTAATAACAACTAACTGATTTCTATCCAATGAGTTTTACGCTGCTCAACCTTACAATCCCGTTTTCTTCTGAGACTTATCCTCATCATTCTATACCAAACACCGGAATCCGTTTCTATTCCAGAAACCGCCAATTCGGTTTTCTCAGAGACACGGAAGCGAGCATTGCTGGGAATTCCGAGCTTTTTTCAAGAACAAAACGATGCCGTTTCGCTCCCATGGCGACTTCCATGGAGCTTCCACTCCTCCCCTTTAGCCCCAACGAGGTTTGCCTTCCATTTTTCTGCTTCTTTCTCAATTTCCACACATTTTTTAGCTTGTTATTCATGATTCTATCACTTTCGATTTTGTTGATTCTTAGTTTCAGTTATATTAACTAGTTTCGTATAGTTTCTGTAAGACTGTAACTGTAATTTTGCAATTTTTTTAGGTTTAATTTCTTTTGAATAATTTCAGGTTCTTGTTCCCTCAGAAAGTAAAACCCTGCATTTATATGAAGCAAGGTATCTGGCTCTTCTGGAGGAGGTAGTTGTTATTTATGTCACTAGACTCTTACCTGTGTTCTTTACAGGGACAAGCAGAGTATCATTATAGAATGATTACTTTATTTTATTTTATTTTTATTTTTTGTTTTATGTTATTGCGTCTGTTTCCATAATTTTGTGAATAATTAAACGGGATTTTTCTGGTAGATCCTGCAAAAATGAACTACTAAAAGGTTTTGTTTTCAGTTGTCAAATTTGTATTAAAAATTATATTTATGCATACTTTTTTAATTTAATGTGATTTTGATGGGATCCAACGATCAGAAACCGACTTTAGCGACGCCCTATCGGAGAAAGACCCATAACTGAATTCAGTTCTGCTCACATATCACCACTCATAATAAGAATAACTTACATATTCTAAGTTTTCAACTTTTTTTTTTGTGCGGATTTTCTTTCACTCTCCTATTGGGGATAGCATGCTAAGAGGCTAAATTAATGTGCTAATGGCAAGTGTTAGTATTTAACTCGAAAACCCACTCTCCAATGCAGGTTTATTGTTTTGTGGGATATTTGACATATGCCACTCTACGATATTCCATATTTTGGCTGTTGGTTACTATTGATTGATGTATTGAGCTTTTCATTTAAGCATTATAAAATATTTATATTTAGACTTTTAAAATTAAAAAACTTTACAAGTTCCAAAACTTAATAATTATGACAAAAGTAGATATAACATTTAAAATAGTATTGTGCATTAAATCAGGAAATAAAAAAAAAAATCAAATAAGTCCTTTTTATCCTTTTTGTGTCAAATATAGTATTGGAATTTGTATTGGAGATGGTCTAATGAATGGTTGATACTTGACAGGCAATTCCAAAACGTTTAATTTTTATGGGGCTTGATATGTTTTGAACAATAAGTGATAAAGGTATAAACTTTAAGTGTCTCAACTGCTGCCTTTATGTATGCAGTCATTAATGAGAAGGTCGAAGCTTTTTGTGCATTTTGTGTTGGATCCTATCATAATCGGCGATTCATCATCTGAACCGTCATTTGCAGCAAGATATGGTTGTCTGGTTTTCATTGAAAGTGTAAGCTTCCAGGAGTTAGAATATGTTTATACCTTATATTTCTGGAATTCAAATTGTATTCAATATTCTGCAGGTTGAAAGATTAGAAGTTGGAGCACTAGTTTCTATAAGAGGAGTGGGTCGAACCAAGATTGTGAAATTCATACAGGCAAGAAATAAAAATTGTGCAATCTCAACTCTATTCCTTGTTGAATCCTAGGATTAGTTGAAGGAACTTCATTCTACTTCCAACTTCTTGAGTAACCAAGTTCAGAAGTGGTTAATCTCTAAAGATATACAATTCTTTTAATTTTCTTTCTTTGTGAGATAGTGGGGATGAGGAAACAAAACTAGGATTTTTTTTCGCTATAATGGAATTGTTATTGTGACTGTACATTCTTTATTTTTATCTTCTTTTATAACTTTCTCCCATCATCCTATATACGTGATCTTACAAATGGCTTTATGTTTGTTATGGTTGCGACGCACTCTTGCAGGCAGATCCTTACTTAATTGGTGCAGTCGTACCAGAACAAGACATGCTTTCTGAGGATTTAAGCGGATTGAGCTCAAAAATCACAGAAGTCAAGGAGGCTCTTCATAGTTTGAATAGCTTAGAGATCAAGTTGAAGGTATCTCTCTAATTCTCTCTCATGGTTCCCGCTATGTGTGTTTTTGTGTGTAGTTTTATCCGACTCTCTTCCTGTCATGCTTGTTGAGTGTGTGTGTTTGCATTTGAAGGAGATCGGAGTATGTTTCCCTTAAGTGAATTGCTTTATTGATTTTCTCAAATCAGGGAATTGTGTAAATGAAGCAGAAAGACTATGCAGGAAACCAGAAAATTTGTATTGGAAAAAATAAATATATATGAATAAAATTTCAGCTTTGATTTGTGCTCATGCCTCATGCATAAACTCTCCTCGTATTGTCTGTGTTGAACCAACATGCTCGCTCAGGCTCTTTTATTGTATAAATGGTCTATGCATTTAATCAAAATCATGGAATTGGAGACGGGATATTGACAAGAAGAAATTGGTGACTATTTGTTTGGAGAAAAATTTTGCAGTTGCTGAAAGTGGTCTTTGGCATAGAAACTATGCACAGGAATTACAAGAGGTTTTGTTAAAGTAATCTTATCCATTTCACTTTGAACTTTATGGAATCGTTATCTTGTTCTGGAGGCTTTCATAAGGAAAAAATAACGTGAATCACTGTTGCTGCCCTAAATCGTTTGGCAATGTGGCTCCTTTTTTTTCTTCTTTTCTTTTGGGGTTGCGTGGCGTGTTTGGGGCTAGGTTTCTCATTTATCTCATGTCATTAGGCACCAAAGGAGGCATTGTTGCAGACTCATACTGCGAACTCTCTGGCATGGACTGAGAAAGAACCATCATTAGATTGTGATTCAGCTTTCATTCCGTCCTTGTCTGAGCGCGTGTCATTTGCAGGTTTTCAACCTGTGTCAGGCAATTTCTCTTCTCCATCTTCAGTTCTTGATTGTAAGGCATAAGTCTGATTGCCTTTTTCACCATTTATCATCTTTCTTCAGATATGTATATATTAGGAGAGGAAAAAGGATAGTTGATTGGAAGCTAGATATCTCATTACCTTTAATGGGGATTTGGATGATCTTTCCTTGTGCATATATTCGTTTTCCCGAGCATATGACTTAAGTTTGATTTCAAGATTACCAACTTTTTTGTTGGATAAGATAACAACAAATCTGTGCGAACGAGATATTTGAAGGCTTCACTTGTAAGAAGTGCCTTTCTAGTCAGTGTAAACTTCGATTGTGAACTGATCTCGGTGTGCTACTTTGACAGGATCGACTGAATCGGAACTTATGAATCTGCAAAGTAAGAAGTTAAGGGCAATGGAGCTTAAAGACACACTTCAAAGGCTAGATGAATCGCTAGAGTTAAATAGAGAAAATATATCCATGGTTGCAGCCAAACTGGCCATACAATCATTAGAGATGCAGTGAAAAGTAGGATTTTGTAGTAGGTCGGGTGTTTGTTATGAGGATTCGTGCCATGATTCGAATCATAATTCGTGACTCGCTACAGTGTTTTCTCTCGCAAAAAACACACGTAAACCGAGAATGGTTTTGAATTCATGAACCAAACGTCCACTAGTGATTCCTCAATTGGGGCTCATAGAATGAAAGAAAGAAAAATTATTTCCATTCATTTTGGCAGCCATTCGGAGACTTTTGCATTGTAATTGTTTTGTATATGTTTTTAACGGATCGCCCCTTTTTAGTTTTTTGCCAACTTTTCGCCTTTTGTTTGAGTTTTTTGTCATCCCTTCTTTTCTATTCACATCTTTTAGTTTTTCATCTTTTTTCCTCCTCACTTTTATACTACTTTTTCTTTTTTTGTTGCTTTCACCTTCCTAGTATATTGTCTATTTTAACATCCGTTTGTTAAATTACTTTTACTGTTTCTAATTTCTCTTTGCTTACGAGATTATTTTTGTTGCTTTCCCCTTTTTCATTCTTATCATTTATTTTTTTTCTACTATAGTTTATTTTCTTCCTTTTTTTAATGTGATCTTCATAAATACTTTTTCACTTTTTTCTTCAGTTTTTTGCTCTTCCTCCTTTTTTTTTCTATTTACATTCTTTTCTTATTCATTTTTCTACTAATTTTTTTTGTTGCTTTTCAAACGGGTTACACTCTTTTCCTAATATATTCTTGTTAAAATAAATTTTCTCAAATGTCCCAATGCCAAAATTTTTTACTTGTAGTCATTTTTTTCTGTCATACAATATCTTAAATAAATTATATATATATATATCATAAATAATTTATTGTCTAACTTTTCCCTTTATAATTTATAAAAAATATTTTTCTACTAGATTTTTTTTACTATAATCAACTATTAAAAAAGTAATAAATAAGGACAATTAAATTTTTGAAGAAATGTATGATTTTCAAATCTAAAAAATTGCCAAAAAAAATCTAAAAAATTGCAAGAAATGCACGCGCAAGGTGCGTGCTATTAACTAGTATCTCTAATATTTAAGGGGTTGTTTTGTATATGGATTTAAATAGTAATTTTGATTATGACTTTTAAATTTTAAATTTTTTTAAGAGAAAAACACTATAGAGTCAAAATCATAATTTAAATCCATAAATAACACATGTACCAAACGTATACCCTAAGCATTTAAATGTACCAATTATCGTGTTTTTTGAATAATCCAAGGAGAAAGGGGTTTGAAAGGTGTGTGTGTGGCCATAGAATTTACAAAATGAATAATAATACCCACGCGGAGATGAATCTTAAAGATGCTTGGAATTCATATCAGAGAATGCTCCGAACGCATCCTTTTTCTTTTGTCGTAGCGTTCAAAGTCATATTATTCCGATTTCTCTGTATAAGTAAATGAGTATCAAATTTTCAGTGGCTTAGTTCATCAATCTGCAGAATTTGACTTCTATTTTGAACACAAGGCTGGTTGCACCAATCAAGCTGCGGATGCACTGAGTTGTAAGGACGAACTTGCGGCATTGAAGTTGCCAGCAAACATGTCAGCTAGCGCAGTGAGTACTCCCATTTCAGGAGCGCATCAAGGAGAACCTGGAGAAGGACCCGACAATGAAAGACCCTAAGCTTGTGGAAGAAGGCAAGATTCGTCAGTTCTGGGTAGAAGATGGACTTGTTTATACCAAAGGGAACCGCTTGTATGTCCCAAAGGCAGGTGACTTGCGGAGGACACTTTTAAAAGAGTGTCGTGACACTTAATGGGCGGGACGCGGGAAGTGATGCAAATATATTGTTGAAGGCAATCTAAAGAAGTGTCTTCACTCATTAACGGTTATTGTTTGTGAGGAGAAATTGATGAGACAAGAAAAGTGTTTTGTCTGCTAGAAGTAATTAATGAGACAAGAAAACTGTTTAATGAAGTGATCGGTAATAGTTGTAAAAATGATGTAGTTATTTATTAAATTTTAGTAATGTCATTTTACTTGACGTTTATGCAAAAATAGATCTCATGAGTGGAAGAGAATAATTAAGGGCTTTTAGTGTATGTCTATTTTGTTTTGTATCAATAATATTGCATTGTTGTTTGTCTTTTATTCATATTTCTTGAACTGCATAATTGGGGCTCGTCCATGACAATCTGCTCAAGCAGGCATTTTTCAGTTGTTGTTCTTTGCTCTTTCAGTTTCCTCTTAGTTCCTCCAAATAATGTTATGCCTTGTCCTGTTTGTTATGTTATTCTGAGGTAAAGGATGATTTATCTTTTGCCTCCTGCAATGGGTGATGTCGGGTTTTGAGCACATTTAGAATAAGAGAAAATCAGAGGTGCCAATTATGGCCCCAACATAGTTAGTCCGTCACTTGTAGTGGTTGTTACAAGATTCATTGACTTATATTAAAGTCGTGATATTGGATTCTAAATTAAAAGCACATTTTTTCATTGTACTACAAGATTCATTGACTTGCATTAAGTCATGATATTGGATTCTAAATTGAAAGCACATTTTTTCATTGTATAAAAAGGAAAAAGGTCAATACATCCAGATGAAACTTGATAAAAAACACCACAATAATTAGATTACTAATGTAATAAAATCAGATTATAAGTGGGTTGGGACTAGCACATAGCTACGTAATTCTGTAGAACTAGAAACGAGACAATTCGACCATTTTAAAAATGAAAAAGTTAACAACATTTTAATTAGCATGTTTTTGCATCTCGTTTTTTGTATGCCTTTCCTTTATTTTGCACGAGTTTCTTTTCATAAACTACATGTTATGATCTTGATATCTAGGATGAAAGTGAATTAAAAAAAAATCTCAATTTATTTTTCCTTTCCATGCTTCTGTGGCAGTTGCTACTTCTCTTGCTTCTTTCTATTGTCTTATTCTTGTAGGTTGGATAGAGCCTACACAACATTTACATATCTTTTTCATTATCTACGGCCCAAAAAAAAAAAAAAAAAAGAAGAGAGAGAGAGAGAAAAAGGTTTTGTTTTCTATTTCATCTTTAACTCTCCTGCTCTCCATACTCAAAATCAGTTTAAAGCTCGACGATATGGTTACTTCTTCTCAAAAAAGGGGGAAAAAAAGAGCAACTAAACAACAAAATTATTGGCAAAGTTAGCTTTTTAAATATTTAAAAATTATGCCGTGTTGTGAGGTTCATTTATTGTGGTTGATTGTTTTTAGTGCGAGCCGCTCGAAAAGATGACTGATGCCGTTTGTTTCTTGCTATATTTGATTTGTCAAGTTTATGTGATGGAGTCCTACCAATTAAAAAGGAAAAAAAAGTAGTTTATTTGATGGATTCCTTTGAAATAAATCTGGTAAGAATGATATGGCTTTACATGACTCGAACAATGTTTTGGCCGTATTTGTGTTTTGCCAATGACTATCTGTAGATCTTTAATGAAATTGCTTGGAGAAAGCTCTCTAACGTGAAGCTAGGTTTGAAAATAATGTACTTCTCTCTTTTGAATTTAGAAGATAAATAATTTGTTGTAAGCAGGCCATATACAAAATCTGATCTTCCTTTCGTTTTTGTTTAATAAGATACGATCATTGTGGCCAGTAGCGGAGCCAGCCTTTCACTTCAGTGAGGATGTACACTAAATTTTTTCTTAACAAATTATCTTAATGAGGGCATATAAGAAAATATATTTATTTTAATAGATGCATATATTATTTCAGTGGGGGTTTAAGTGTAAAATTTTAAAATTTTTAAAGGTAATATATTTTTCAAAAAAAATTGAGTAGGGGTGGTAATCTCCACTGAGCTATACTTAAATCCGCCACTGATTGTGGCTCCTATTTTTCAATTTACTACTTGAGACCACATGCTAGACACGTTATAAGTTTGATTCTGTGTCAATACACGAAAATTTAAATTGCAAAAAAATATTTACAAAATAATAAAAAAATAAAAAGGAAAAAAGAGAAAAAAAAAATGGAGAGGGGTGTCACGTGACTCCTTGAGAGAAAGAACACTTGGCTCTTTTAATAGCCAAATGCTCTTAAAAGAGGGATACAAAATTGCTTCTACTCAGGTAAGACTATTGAAGAACTAATCTAATAACTAAAATATTAGTTTTTATTAGTGGAACAAAAATGCATGTTTTATCATAAGTTTTACCTGTAAAATAATTATAATGTAAAGGTGAATTTAATAAAAATGAAAAGAAATTAAATAATAATTGAAAGAAATTATTTTAATAGGAGTAAAGTGAGAAAAAAAAATTCCAAAAGGCACGCGGTAGTATTTTTAAAAGAAACAGGTAAAAAGAAAGAATTAAAAGTAAAGAAAAAAGGGGAAAAAAGAGTAAAAATTGACAAATGGCAAATGTAGGAAGAATGAAAGAAAAAGAGTTTCGTTTTTTTATGTATGTTATAGATCATAAATTATAGATACATAGATATACAAAGGAGATAAAGAGATAACGAAATGTCTGCAGCGATATTTGGTAAGTCGTTGGAATATTGTGATTATGCACTTTGTGAATTATGAAGTAGCGGTTAGCATGATACGCCAGTTGTGAACCAACAATTTCATTCCAAATCTGATCGAGAGTCTAGTCTAGTAATAAAAAAAAAAATTTATTATCAGTGGTGTTTCTGAATCTTATAGACATTCTCAGTTTGTCTTCAGAAAAATAAAAATTCTTATTTTGTTTCATAAATTTTAAATTATTCCCATTTAATCTCTTCAGTTGTAATTTATGTTAAAAATAGATAAAAAAAAAAAGAATAATGAAATCACGTAGTATTTCTGTTTAGATTTCTGTTTAAAAAAACAGACAAAAATCATATAATCGCACTTAATCTCTTCTATTTTGGTCTGATTTTAATAAAAATTACAAAAAAAAATTAAATGAGAACAATTTAAAATTTTAAAAATAAAATAAAAATTTTAAACTTTAAAAAATAAATTAATAATAATTTAAAATTTTAAAAAATTAATTAATAATAATTTTAAAATTGAGGAGCACTAATAAAAATAATCATAACAAAAAAAAAAAATGAGAGTACAAACTTCGTGCGAGATATTTTTTGTTTAACTGGATGTGTGGGTCCATGCGTCGGCTGGGAATGCAACATGGGATATGTTTTAAAGGCCAGCAATTGGTTTGAAGGAAAAACGAAAAGATATTATCGACACATTATAATGTCTGCGGCGATATTTGTTAAGTCGTTGGAATATTGTGATTATGCACTTTGTGAATTATGAAGTAGCGGTTAGCATGATACGCAAGTTGTGAACCAACAATTTCATTCCAAATCTGATCGAAGAGTAGTCTAGTAATAAAAAAAATTATTATCAGTGGTGTTTCTAATCTTATAGACATTCTCAGTTTGTCTTCAGAAAAATAAAAATTCTTATTTTATCTCATAAATTTTAAATTATTCCGATTTAATCTCTTCAGTTGTAATTTATGTTAAAAATAGATAGAAAAAAAAAATAATGAAATCACGTAGTATTTTTATTTAGATTTCTGTTTAAAAAAACAGACAAAAATCATATAATCGCACTTAATCTCTTCTATTTTAGTATGATTTTAGTAAAAATTACAAAAAAAAAAATTAAATGAGAACAATTTAAAATTTTAAAAATTAAATAAAAATTTTTAAACTTTAAAAAATTAATTAATAATAATTTTAAAATTTTAAAAATAAATTAATAATAATTTTAAAATTGAGAGCACTAATAAAAATAATCCTAACAAAAAAAAAAAATGAGAGTACAAACTTCGTGCGAGATATTTTTTGTTTAACTGGATGTGTGGGTCCATGCGTCGGCTGGGAATGCAACATGGGATATGTTTTAAAGGCCAGCAATTGGTTTGAAGGAAAAACGAAAAGATATTATCGACACATTATTATAACAAAATCCAGAGATAGATTTTTCTATTTTGTTTTATGGTTAAAGAGCCGTTGGTGGTAAAACAGAAGGAAGACATGGGTTTAGCTTCAACAAGAACTCCTATATTCTGCTCCCTCGTGAGCTCCACTGACACTCCTCGTCTCTCTTTTGGAAGGCCAACTGATCAGCCATTTCAGTTTCTCTCAAGTTCTCATTCTTCTTCTTCTTTTGTACGTTCTTCCTTTCATGTATTCTCTTCTTTTATGTTGCAGAAACAGCTGAGAATTCTTCAGTCTTCTTTTCAATTTGTATTTGACTAATTCCAGTATGAATTGATTGCTTGTTTTCTGGTTCATCACTCCTTTGTATGACCCATTTCAGTTTCTTAGTAAAATCACATTAACCAATCCAGAATTTGTGACAGAAAAGCGATAAACAGCGTCGTCGAAGTTTAATAGTTCTTCGGTTTGTGACCTATTCTGGGCATCATTCCAAGTTATTTGATGAAATTTTCACTGTTTAGACAATCTTTTTCAAAAGATTTTGAGGGAATAAGAAAAGTAGAAAAACTCGGAACAAGATAGTTTGTTCAAGTTGTTGAAGATATATCTCCAATCTCCATCTAGGGACTACCATCTTTAAACTTGGTCATGCCAATTTGTGAAAATAAAAGGAAACTTAATCTGCTCATCCCATGCTATTATCAAAAGTACATGAGTCAGGATACATATGAGCTATATATATATATATATATATATATCCTGGCCCTTGTGCATTTATCCTTCTGTGTCTCTATACATCATAATGCTTTAGACCAAATAAATCTTAGTCTTTGTGATACATAGGACCCTCATCCTCCTTGATACAAATGTAATGTTCTGTGTTATAAAGAATTGTTAGCTTGACCGTAAATCTTCAGTTTTCTACAGAAAAAATGCAAGCTAAACCTTCGGAGATCAGATGCAAAGAACATAGCCAGAAGAGTAAACTGTAGCTTACTAAAAGTGGAAGATGGTTTAGATGACGACGCATGCGAGTTGGTCAGTGGAAAAGAACTTTCAATCGAGGAGGGTGATGACAACATCCGTGCTTATCTCTTCAAAGCAGTAAAGAACAATAATGGAACTGGGATATTGCTCTTGTCTGATGTTTATGGATTTGAAGATTCAGCAACGAGAGATTTCGCGTATCGCGTTGCTTGCAACGGTTACAAGTAATGTTGCTTAACCTTGTAAAGATCTTACAATAAATTTCTTGTAAGTAGGTCATTATATAAATCTTGATTGTTTAATACCAAAAAAAATAAAAAATGCAGTGTACTAGTTCCAGACCTATTCCGTGGAGATCCATGGGCAAAGCATCGACCGAAGGACGTGTTTGAACAATGGATAAGGAAACAAGACCCTGAGAGGGTTGCAAAGGACATTGCCACATCAACAAACTGGATGGTTAATGAATTTGTAGCTGCAGGGATCTCAAAGAAGCTTGGCCTGATAGGATTTTGCTATGGAGGCGGCAAAGTTATCGACGTGCTTTCTCGAGATCAGGGCACCTATTTTGGCATTGGGGTGTCCTTTTATGGCACAAGGATAAACCCAACTTTAGCCTCCAATGTGAAGGTACCTGTGCTGTTTATTTCAGGGGATAATGATCCACTTTGTCCGATAAGTTTGCTTGAGGATGTTGAGAAGAGAATAGGCAGAGGCTCTAGGGTCGAAATTTTCAAGGGTAGGGGTCATGGCTTTGTGCATCGGCCTGAATCTCCAGAGGAAGATGGAGATGCAGAGCAGGTTTTTTTCATGACTAGAAACTGGCTATATGATGGCTTGGTTGCAGTGAACTCCTAAATTGTAAAACACTCTTGTGTGTTCCTTATAAAGTTGTCTATGAGTCGTCTATAAACACTCCTGTATTTTCCAAAATCATCATGGAACCATAGAAAAGTTGAAGGTGGCACTTCTAGATTCACGCATCTTCTCAACGCAAATGTTTAAATTTTCACCTATAGTTTGAATTTATTTGCATCAATTATCAAATTAGAAAATCTAGTGATTTGATAGTTTTGGGTAACATACCAGCGGATTTGGCTGTTGTAATGTGTATTTATATAGAGTCTATATTGATGGTGTTTCTTATTGGTGAATTATTCATTTTTCCTAATCCGTAAATGTAGCCACATTATTGGAAATCATAATAAATCTGTGTTCTCTCCTAATATAGGAATAAATTCATCAAAGGTTCCTCAATTCTTTTCTCTCTCTAGAATTAGTCATTGTAGTTAAATTTGTTCCATAAATAGTCCATCAACTGAAAAGTATTTCTAAATGGTCCTTTTGTTAAAATTTTAAATGGAAACCGTTGAATTAGATGTTGGTTATTATTTTTGTCAAAATCCACTATCTAACTACTATTATTTTGTCAAAATTCACTTTTTCGTTTTCTTGGATGAATTAAGTCAACTTTTATTTTGTCAAAATCATATGCCCACAAACGACCGCCATCTCAATAGTCAAATGAATGCCTCAATCATCAGCAGAGCAGCATAACTATAAGCTTAATGACTTTAATCTCCGTCTCCAACCATTGTTTCACCAATCCCACAATGCCATTATTCCCAATAATGAAATCCTTCTCTTTATGCTTGCTCATAATTTTCCCATTCCTTGCCTTGTCAGATCCAATTTACATCGATTCTATAGTCCCATACTTCACAATAAACAACCTCCAATTGCTTGACGATAACGACGCTTTCTTGTCCTCCATTAACGGCTTTTTCAGAGCCTCATTAGTTACTACATCTCTACAGCCACCACGTATCTACTTCTCCATTGTCCCCGTCGCAACCCAAACCGTTATCTGGTCGGCTAACAGGAACAACCCCGTTTCGAACTCGGCCAATTTGACGCTCACAATCGACGGCTCACCATCACCGACGAGTCGAAAAAACTCGTTTGGTTCACGCCGGTATTGAGCAGATCTCCAGTTCGGCTCTTCAGCTCTTGGAAACCGGGAACCCCGTGCTCATCGATGCGAAAAACGTGTCCTTGTGGCAGAGTTTCGATTATCCGATGGACACCATCGTCATGGGACAACGACATTTGGTGGGGAAATCCTTGGTTAGTGCTGCAACAGGCGATGACTTGTCTGCAGATAGATCTGGAATTGTGGTGGTTCGGACGGACTTATTGGAAGCTTTCATGGAATCGTACAAGCTAGTGTCGTACATGGAGATTACTAGAAACGGTTTGTATCTTTATGGAGGTGAGAATGATTCTTTGGTCATTTTGAGACTTGCATTGAAGCTTTCAGATTTTAGGATTGCGCGGATTGGACATGACGGGAGGCTTATGATAAGTAGCTTAAACGAAAATTCAGTGCACAAATTTGTGAGGCCTATTGATTTTTGTCTAGTTCCAAACATTTGTGGGGAACTAGGATTATGCACTTGGAAAAATACTGAAGTGAGCCAGTGTACATGCCAAGAAGGATTCCGAATTGATCCGAGTGGTTGTTTGCCAAAAGAAAATTCATTTTCTCTATCTAGAGGATGTAACACAAGTGTTGGAGGCAGGGGATTAGAATCAACATCAGTTGCCAAGTATCTGAATCTTAACACTGGTACGAATTATTACGCTATTAATTTCATGAAGCCCGCGAAGCGTGGTATCAATTTAGCTGTTTGCCAGGATCTGTGCTTAAAAAACTGTTCTTGCTTGGGAATCTCTTACCGTAGTTCTTCTAGTTCTTGTTATCTTCTTGAGAATAATATTGGGTCCGTTTACATTGATTCGACGAAATCGGATCTTGTACTAGGGAACACAAAGATTTTTGAAATATCTTCTTTCCCATCGAATACAACCGCGGAAAAGAAACGTGATTTTCCAATTGCTGGTCTTGTGCTCATACCCTTGTCAGGGTTTGGCATGATCATGGCAGTGGCAATTCTGTGGCTGCACAAAAAGAAGAGTACTACTAAGAAAGTTGCTTCCAATTTAGGCCGTTGGAACTCATCTTCATCATCGGTGCTCCAACAACTTCTCTGCTGGGATTACCTTCAAGATTCAAGTATGAGGAGCTTGTAAAAGCAACTGAGAATTTCAAGACTAAAGTTGGCAGTGGTGGCTTTGTTACAGTTTATAAAGGTACTACGCCAGATGAAACTGCAGTAGCCGTAAAGAAGATCACTAATTTAGGGGTCGGAGGGAAGAAGGAATTTTTCACCGAGCTTGCGATAATCGGAAGCATCTACCATGCCGATCTGGTTAGATTGAAAGGTTTACGAGTTCATGAATCGAGGTTCATTGGAGCGGATTCTTTTTGGCGGAAGGTCCTATTTTAGAATGGGAAGATAGGTTCAAGATTGTCCTTGGAATGGCTAGAGCACTTGCTTACTTGCACAGTGGCTGCCAACATAAGATCATCCATTGCGACGTCAAACCGGAGAACATCCTCTTGAACGAAGGCCAACAAGTGAGATCCTCCGATTTCGGGCTCTCAAAGCTGCCAGACCATGAAACCTCCAAACTGCTAACAACTTTGAGAGGCACTAGCGGCTATCTCGCACCGGAGTGGCTCACAAGCTATATGGTATCACCGACAAAATCGACGTGTACAGTTTCGAAATGGTACTACTCGAAATTGTGAGATGAAAAAACGAAACTGCCCGTTGCTCTCACAAAACGGCAATGGCAGCGGCAGCGAAGAGAATGGACAATTGTTCTCTTCTTCAAGTATGAAAGGACAAACCTTTTTCCCTTCATTAGCACTGGAAATGCATAAACAGAGGAGGTACTTGGAACGGCAGATTCACGGCTAGAGGGCCGAGTGAGTGAGGTGGAGATCGAGAAGCTTGTGCGGATAATGTGGTCGGCATGTTGGAAGGCCGGGTGCCTTTAGGTGAGCCAATAATTGAGGCCTTGAAGTTTTGGCAGTCAGTTACCGGGTAACCGACGTGAAAGCCTAACATGTCAGTCAAATAGCCGATCGATGTGCAAAGTAGCGGTTTTTATTGGAATCTGTGTTGCAGTGAGAGAGCTAAAAAGCATGCGAGAAACCCATCTGGAGCTAGCTTATATAGTAGGGAGGTGAGGGGGATGGGTAGACGTCTCAGGTTCGAAATCTGGAGAGCGCAAGCGCAAAGGGCCCATAGGCCCCAGTAAAAAAAAAGAAGCGAGAAATAAAAAATGTAATACTATTTTATTTTTATTATTACTGTAAATTTATCTTATATCATTAATAATTCATAAATTATTTTTTTATAACTTATAGATTATCTTTTATAACTTATAAATTATCTCTTTATAACCTATAAATTATTTTCAATAATGATATTTCAATTTTGAACAATAACATAAATATTAAAGTTGAAAAAGATAATGGTTAAATTTAAAATTTTTTGAAAAAAAAAAAAAAATTTGCAGGCGACGAACAAATATCTGACCAAGAGACGCTGTGTTCGAACTTCGAAAGCATCGTGGATACTTTTTTTGTTTTGTCAACATCTTTGTCTCAGGCTTTCCTTTTTTTATTATTTTTTTGTCTAAATTATGCCTAATTTGAACAAGTCGTTGAATTTGTAAGAGGCTTCTATATTGAAGATTATTACTGTAATTACAGTGAATATATATGGTGAATTATCTATACATATTTAAAAGAATTAAGAATTTAACTTTTAAAAACACTATGTGTTAGTTTTTATAGAGGCTACATGTTGGCCTCATATTTTTTTTCTTTTTTTTTAATTTTTTGACTTTCACTCTCTTTTTTTTAGTTCCATTTTTTGACCTTTTTTTTTTTAATTTTTCTTCTCTTTTTTTTTTTTCCCTGTCTATTGCCCTTTTTTTTTCCCTCTATACATCTAATTTAATTTAAAAGTACATAAAATAGTCAAAGTTATTTTTTTCTATGAGCAGCCCTCCACTTACTTCTTTTTTTCTTTTTTCTTTTTATTTTTTGTGAATCTTTTTACATTTTAATTTTTTTGAGTTTTTTAAATATATATTATTTCTCACTTTACTTCTATAGGAGTAACTTTTTTTTTTTTTTTTACATGTGTTCCTACTTATTTTTACCTAGTTAAAATAATTTTCTTTAAATGTGTCCATATTTAATTTTTTTTGTCAATTGCTATCTTTACATATTTTTTAAAATAAATATAAAAATCTTTAAATGATTGTTTAAATAAATTTCTTATTATTCAATAAACAATAAACTCTTAAAGTGTCTCTAACATGATAATACGTGTGGAGCATATTACAAAACTAATATCTGCAAAAAGAACAAAATAGGGACTTAGGTTTTTTTTTTTTTTTTTTTTTTGAGATAGATAGAAGGATAAGGTCAATATACTATTATTAAAGATTAGAGTAGAAAATACAAAAAGGAGAAGACCAATGACGAAGCCAAAACATTTGTCCAAAGGGCTTGAGTTTAATCAAAATTTTGAACTAAATTAGTAACGTCAAAATACTTTTAAAATTGGATTAATTTTATAAATGTTCTTGAAGTATGTATGTTATTTCAAAATGCCCTCTAATTTTATAAAACGATTCAAAATACTCATGATCTATAGAAAATAATTTAAAATGCTCATTATGTCTAATTTCATCTATACTTTTAATAGATATGCTGACGTGACACTAATATTAAAAATACTATTAAAGATTAAAATGAATCAAATATTAAAAGTTAATTGAAAAACAAATAAAAACCCCTAACATTTTCAAAAAAAAAAAAGAGAAAAAGGGAAAAAAAAAATAAGAAAGAAACCTTCTCATCACTCAACCAGAGCACTACTTTTAATTAATATCAGCTTCAGATATAAAATTTTCAAAATCGACCCCTTCTCACCTTGCTCGTCAAGCTCGTCTCCGGCACTACCTCCCAACCTGGCCGAACCTCAAGCACCACCCCTCTCCCCACTCTAGTGCAACTCTATGACCATTTTAATTCTCTGATTTGAGTTTTTAATTTAAAAGATGTGACTTAATGTGAAAATTTTTTATTATAGTAAAAAAATTAAATATGACTGTTTCTGAGAATTTTTTACTGTAATAAAACTTGAATTCTAAACTCAAATCGGTAAAATAAACAAGGTCTAAAACTAAATCAAATTAAAATCTCAAGTACACTTTTAAAAATCAGAACTCAAAGTAATATTAAGAGTAAATTTTTTGTTACTCTTTTTAAAACACAGGGGATTATTTTGAAATAATATAAAAATATAGGAATACTTTTTTAGATTATAAAAAACATTTGTAAATATTTAATTCACCTAAAACTTAGTTGGGTTCCATTGGCGATTTGCATCGCGGGCAAGGAGTTACACAGGACAGGAGACTGAAGAGAGTCAACCACGTCCCAACCATCGTATTCTTCACGGCTAGTTGAGAGACAAAATACAATGAAAAATCACTCATGAGAGGCACAAAGTTGGTATGTCGAAAACTATGTGGACGGTTTTCTATGCTTAGTCTTCTTCGTCAGTGACGAACAAAAACACAACAAGGGTTTCCTGGGAATTCACGGTGTCTTTAAGCTCCTTTGTTTTCCATTTCAGACTCTTTCACACCCAACTTAGATTTCTCTTTTCCTACACATATTTATCAGGTATGATTAGAACAAAAACTGCCTCTGATCACCCTCTTTTTTTTTTAATTAACATTTTTGCTCTGTTTAATGGGCTTCATCTTTTCGTTCTATAGAATTCTTTGCTGAGCAATTAATTTGATGATGGAAATAAGATTAGTTTTACTTTGCTAGTACATTGTGCTCTGCCTCTTAACTGCTCTGGCTCGTATTTTTTTACTTTTTTTAATTTATTTTTGGCTCAAAAGTTAAAAGGCTTTGCTACAGTGTTAGAAAGGCCAAAAGTAAAGATAAAAAAGGAAAGTAAAAAATAAAAGAAAGCAAAGTAGTTGAAAGTAGAGACATGTACATGAATTGATTCTTATCACTTATCTGTTCTCTAGGAATCTGATAACTGGGTGGGTATTTTTGGAGTCCGCGATTTCAGATGAAAGTTCTTATTTTCAAATCTTTTTCTTTAGGTTCAATTTTGCTTTACTTGCTAGTGACATCATACATGGCATTGATGGAGGACAAATTGTCAATACATTGAACTTGGAAATGAATATAACTTTATGATCAAAAAGTTGCTTAGAAATTTGTTTGTTTTCTTGTTTTACTTGTGGTGTTTCAGTGACCATTTACTTATCTTCTCTTTTACAGTTTCCTTTATGTAGTATAATATCTGATTTTTTTTTCTTTTTTTTTTCCTGGAATTAACTTGCGTATTATACTCCAAATCCCATGTTAGAGTTCGGATTCTGCTTCAATTATCATACTTGTAACCTCCATCCTTAACCAAATGTATTTATCTGTACATATATTTGCTTCTATGCTAAGGTCAAATCCCAGATTCCTTTGAAGGAACTTGTATGGAATGGATGAACAGCTATTGCTTGATAGATATTTTTCATTAGTTTGACTAAAAAGATTATATTTCCCTGAGTTGTTAGGACCTTGAAGAATCAATTATCTAGGCCTCATGTCATTTCTCTGTTCTGTGTTGGGTTAATATAATTAACGGACAGCATTTCCCAAATATTAGTCTAAATGCTATAGGAAATTGTGACAAAAGTTAGTTTTGTTCTCTTTAATCTGTCCAACATATATTATTCATAACTTTCTTTATTCGAAACTTTCCGATGAATTTCTGACATCCAAACAAGCACCTATTTTTGAGCATTCATAATAAAGTTAAGATATTTGCTTGAGGAGAATATTGTAGAACTTTATATCCTCCATTAGATTCACTTTTCTGAATTTTGAAGCCATTAAATGTTGTGTTTCTCTTCTCCAGTCACTTATTTATTTTATTTTATTTTTGCCTTGTCGTGTTTCTGTATTCCAATAAACTAGGAAATTTTTGAGACATTGTCATTTTATGTATAGGTTGAAGAACAACAATTAAAAAAAGGTATGATGTCAAAGTCAATGGAAAACAAGAAAGCAAGCTTATTAAGATCAGCAGTAAAAAGAGCATTGGCCATAAAGATGGAGGAAGAGAAAAGAAAACAACAAGAAATTGATCTAGTTCCTTATATTCCGAAAGATTGTGTCTCAAACATCCTTGTACGACTTCCTCTTGAAGCTCTTCAAAGGTCAAGGTTTGTTTGTAAGCCTTGGTATAACCTAATTAATAGCACTAAGTTCATTGATGACCATCTCAGACGCTCTGAAACTGTTTTACTGTTTCTGTCATCAATTCAAAAAAAGTTATCCGACTCTAGGATGGTATCAATTCTTCCTGAGAACCCAAAAGCAGTTTCAGTTGAAGCAAAACTTTATCATGCAAATTCTGCCATTGTTTTCGATAAACTGCTTGTTGACCGAGCTTCAAAGTTTTCGATCCAATTTTTAGAATTAAAAAATGGAAAGTGCCAGATAGGAGAGTACAACATTAGCTGTTTGGGCAATATCAGGGCTACCTGCAATGGTCTGATCTTGCTTGATGACAAAATGAAGAAAGGAGGACTTGTAATCATGAATCCAGTGACTAGAAAGTTGATGCCTCTTCCACTTGGTACTCTTTCATCTCGACATGATGAATCTTATGGCTTTGCGTTGAGCAAAATTAGCGGTGAGTATAAAGTAGTGCACTTATTTCAGGATTATCTGGGATACATCAGTTGTGAGATTCTGAACATTGGAACAAGATCATGGAGAGAGGTCGATGGTCCTGCTTTCGGGCTCCTTCGTTGGTTCGGATATGACCCTGTGTTTGCAATAGGAGCTTTGCATTGGACTCCTGAAATCGACCATAGTGATCACATAGTGTCTATGGAAGTGGACAGCGAAAGGTTTCGCCAAATAACACTTCCGAAGAGTAGCAGTACTTATGACCGGATCATTGAGATGAGTGGCTTCTTAGGCTTTGTGAGTCATGATGACGAGTTTAACCAAATAGATGTGTGGATCTTGAAAAGCTTGCTCGGGGACGTCTGGTCGAAGCACCGTCGTATAATCACAGGCTGTATACTAGACATGATTCCCCTTTTTAGTTTAAGAATCACAGGAGAACTAGTATTTAAGAGAGATGAAGACGGCTCAATTTATGTTTATGATTTCCAGTTCCATCGGATGACGAAGGTCGAAATGATGAAGAAATGCGTCCCTTTTGCAGTTTCGTACTTCCCTCATGTCAACAGCCTTGTCTCTTGGTAAAACACAGATGGAAAACAAGGCATGTGAGATTGATAACACGCTTCCTCAGGTGAGAGTAAATTTGTGAAGTATATCGTATGGAATGCAAATTCAGCAATAAATTGGAATTTCTCTGTTGTCTTTTGTATGTATTTATGCTTTTACTTTGGTCTATCATGCTTTGGTATAGTTGTGGGGTGTCTATATGCAGTGTCCAGAATATATCATGCTTTGATAGGCTTTTTGCCCCCTTATTACTAGAAATGTTCTAAATAATGTTTGTTTCTTTTATCGAGTTAAAGAAGAGAAAAGTGCTCTTGAATAAAGCGAAACCGGGTGCAGGATGTTTTTGAAAGATTACATCAGAGTAATAAAGACAAAATATGATATTTTAACGAAACATGATAAAAATATTATAGTTTCCAATTGTGTCCTAAATAGAGTGTTTTGTGGGAGAAGCTACTTTAGTAAAAATAAATATTTAAACAGTAGTTTGAAGTTATGAAATAAAAGGGCCTTACGTTTTTCTCAATTGGGCTTTGCTCAATACTCAGTTTGCTAGTTAGCTACGTCTAGCCTTTGTTCAATACTCCCCTTTCTTGGATTCCATTTCTATTATGCTGACAAGTTTACTCTTCGTAATAATGCTAGAGACGCACCAAATTTTAGCATCTTTTTGACATGATAGTTAACTTGTCGTCTCTCCGATCAGTAATATTAAGGTCCATTCATTTCACCGATTTGAGTTTTATTATAGTAAAAAGCTCTCAAAAACAATCAAGTTCTTACATAAAATCATATCTCAACTCAAATCAACGAACTAAATGGACCCTAAATAATCCGACAGGGCCGGGAGTGAGTGACAGGCCCACCTCCCCAACTCCATCAATATGTGAGTGATGGGGTCCTGGTCCCGTCCACGTACAAAAAAAGTTTTCATTCTTAGTTAAATAACAAAGGTCCATTTCATAATGTTTCCAAAATAATTTTATTTTCAATATAAAAATAAAAATAAAATTATTTTAAAAATTATTCTACGATCAATTCTAAAATTATGTTTAGTTAATTTTTAAGAGATTATTTTGAGTATAATAAACAAGTAAAATCATGTTTAGTTATAATTATTAATTTATATATTATAACATTATTGATAAGTACTAAAAAAATGAAAACAGAAAAAAAGAAAATAACTTTTAATCGTTTTCTAATTCCTTCACAAAAATCATTCTCACTGTTTTTTTATTTTCATTTTTATTTTCAAAACGTTTTCTAATTCCTTCACAAAAACCATCCTCATTGTTTTTTTGTTTTCGTTTTTATTTTCAAAATATTTGCTAAACAAATACGATTTACATACCGTTAAAATTTTCGTGTCTCAAAAGATGTGCAAAAACGTTTTTAAAAATAAACAAAAATCAATTTCAAACGCACCCAAAGTTTTGCACACATCATAATGACCAAACAAAAATCAATTCTAAAGGCACCTAAAATTTTGCACACATCATAACGACCAAACAAAAATCAAATTCAAACGCACCAAAAGTTTTGCACACATCATAACGACCAACATAGTTTTAGTACAATAAAACGTGTTATGCAAGCAAATTCTCCCATCAACTTGAGCAACTCACCCCAATGGAGTGTGCCAAGGCTTAGGGGGGTTGGTTAGCATAATGTCAAGAAGTTCATCAATTGTAGTATATTTATGATCTGGATAGAGCTGCGAAGCTTCAAGAATCTCCTTCTCCTCTGCTTCAAAGTTGATCACCGACTCACCCTTCACGAATGCGGTGTGAACGATTGACAGCCCTATGTTTTTTGGATTTGGTAAGGCTGCATACAAACAAGTCATCCAATAGAGTTGATAGGGGAAGCAAAATGAAAAAAAGAAAAGAAAAAAAAAAAAAAGAGGTGAGACCATGATTAGTTAAACAATCAGCTTAAGTAACATTCTGTGGTCAAAACATTGTGTGTGTGTGTGTGTGTGTGTTATATGGCAAGGAATTGCATCATTTAATCATAGTGTGTTAACCGGGACAACTTACTCTCAGCCTGTTTGACGAGGTCCTCTGCAGTGACATAAACTTTTTTGAAAGTTCGACCAGTCTTCTTCTCCCACAGAGCAAATAACTCGTGTGCTGTAATTATGTTTGCTCGTGGCCTACAGTTGACGATACGGTTAAGTGTTCTTGCGTCATCTGCAGCCTTGACTGTGTATGCACCAAGATCCTCTTCATAGACATAAGCCACTGAAAAGAGAAATTGAAAAGCCTTTACTTATAACATTTTTTTCCCAAAAAAAAAACACACTATAATTGAATGTTGCAACATAAAGAAGATTAAAAGTACCTTTGACATCACCAGATCCGAAGACAACAAGTTCGTCTGGCTTATCATGTGGGCATAGCAAGCCATTCATAAAATAAGCGCCCAAGAAATTTGCAGATACAAAAGTGTATGGGATCCCAGCTTCTTTTACAGCCCTTCTCACTTCGCTCTTTTTGTCAAGGAATTCTTGGAAAGGTTTTAAAGGCTTCACTCTATCCTCTTCAAGCCCGAAATCCGCTGGAATGAATCTCTACCATACAAAACAAATGATATGAGGTAATAGTTTTTCATAGTTCTAAGTTGTATCAGATTCAATCATATTTATATTGTATTTCGAATCTCAATAATTTTTATGTATTTTGATGTTTAGAGATATGCATTACATGTAACGATACCTTATCGCGTAGTTAGTATGGTTCAAATTTAACGTGTTAGGCAAACACATATACTTTGACTCCCTACTAACAATCAATTCCCAGTATGGTCCCAACTTCGAGTGTAGCATGTTGAGTAAATATATGTTGGTAGGGGATCACCACTTCCCTTCCTATCTTCACTAGACAATCTAACGACAAAATTCAAACTAATCGATTATTATAAATTTGTATTTCACAATGTGTTGACTACCAATGCGCAACAGACATTTAAACGAATTTTTTAAAGGATTATGCACGCACCATTATAAAGGGACGGATGCACCCCAGCCATTTTGGGACTGGGGGAGAAAGCTCCCACTGAGAAGTGCATATATATACACACACACACACATATAAATATATATATATATACTTCTATTCTTTCTATCAGCTTAATTTCCTATGTCATATATTTTATCTCCATTATTTTTCCTCTGCTTTCTACCCACACATAGTAATAACCTCCTTCCATACTAATACTATACGGATTCTCTACCACTTCTTTTTTTTTTTTCTTTTTTTTTTTTTCCTTTCTTCTTTCATTAGTTTAATAATATTTCTTCGGAAGCAAACAAAAATGGTTCTAAGGAAGCAACTATCTCAACTGAATAAGATTAAGAGGGGTAATAATAAAGTGGGCTAATCAACGATATTATGATTTTACCTTAATATTTCCAGCAATCTTGATGGCGTCAATGATCTTGAATTGCTCAGCAACCTGAGGAAAAGCAAACGTGCAAATGACAACATCCACTTGCCGAAGAACCCTAACAAGCTTCTCTTGCTCCCCCAATGTTCCCTGCCCATGAATCATAAAATCATCCATTAATAAATTCTGAATTTGTAGTAAAAAAATTAAGTAAATTTGAGAAAAAAAAATAGTGATAATTAATACATAAACAATGCTGACTCCGATGGACTCAAAGTGTTGGAGGATTTCCTTCTTAGGAGGAGGAGTTTCTGGAGTGAGATCTCTTGAATAAACGTAAGTTGGATGACCCAAAGAAACGCTTGCCTTCGCCACATAACTCCCAATATGCCCAGTTCCCCCAAATCCCAATTCCTTGCTAGCTCCACTCTCTTCAGCCATATTTTGTTATGTTTCTCTCTCTATCACTCTCTTTCTCTCTCTAATATTTTCTGTTGTTTTTTCATTCTACAGTCTCACTCTATGTATTAGCTATTAAAGCACTGGGTTATGCTTTGATTGGAAGTGAACACTTTATTTTAACGCGATTGATCGTATAAAAAAATGGACGGTTTACGTGTATGCTCTGGATCTGTCCACTAAACACTTTCGTACGTGACAAACGTGGAATTTAAATATCATGACATATTAATCTCGTTCATTTCATCGATTTGAGTTTTTAATTTTAAATTTTTACAGTAAAAAATTTTTAAAAAATGTCACATTTAACTTTCCTACTATAATGAAAAACTCTAAAAAAATATCACATCTCAATTCAAATTAAAAACTCAAATCTAAAAAGAGGGATCGTAATCAATTAGGTCAGCATCTATTCGGGTCTTTTTATTTTTTATTTTAACTAAATGTGATTCCCTTCTATTCGGGTCATTTTTTACGTCAGCATCTATTCGGGTCATAGTAAACAACAGATCTCAACTCAACGTTTTAATAAGGCTTTGTGAGAGAGCAGTTCCACACCCAATCACGCTGGGTCAAGAAGAACATTTGCCAGCAGTGACAAAAACCTCTCACGATTGTTTAAAAGTTATATTCAAATTTAAATCATAATTTTTTCACGAGTTGTGTTTAAGTTAACTGTAAATTTAAAAAAAAAATGATCAAAACACGACACGTGACACCAATTGATTAATTTTTTATTTTATAAAGAATATAATTTTTAAGTTTTCTCACAAATTTACCGTCAATAAACCTAAATCATAATTTTAGACATTCTAAACGGACCCCCTAATCTTACCTTACCTTTTTAACTAAAAAAACGAAAATTTTTTAAGTTGAATAACTTTGATATCTCAGTTAAATTTTTTTAAAAAAAATTAAGCATTAAATATATTCTTTTAAAGAGAAAATATCATTCTAAAAAACAAAAACACACTAAACTAGACACAATCACGCAAATAACCAGAGTATAATGTATAAGTGTATTCAACCCTAAATAATGACATGATCTAAGGATAAATTCGTATGAAAGACAAACACATACAAAATAAAAATCTTAACTTGAAATACAACTACAGAGTACGACAAAGGCTCTTTCAATGGAACCACTACAATTGACGAATAAGTCCATTCATAGCACAATTGACGGATAAGTCCATTCATAACACTAGGATCACTCACAACACCGAGTAGGATCAAACCTACTAAATCGAACCAACCACCACCCAAAAATGGTGAGACAAGTTCTTTCGTTATTATCAAACCTACTAAATCGAACCAACCACCACCCGAAAATGGTGAGACAAGTTCTTTCGTTATTACGCCTTAAATTTTAGCAACTATATGACCTGATAGACTGATAGTTAACTCTGATTTCTAATTGGCAATCAAAGTCATGAGTAATGTACTGTTGCATAACAAAGGGGGTGTTTGACACGTGGGTTCAGGTTGTCTAATCCTATGAGCCCAACCCGAAATGTTGTTTTATAAGTTACTTTGGTAACTTTATTCAGATTGTGCCAGTTGAAACTGACCAATTCAGAATTTACCTCCCCTTCCAAATATTCATCCAATCTGAACCCATTTGATACAGAACACAATTTTTTCCCCAAAATTAATATTTTCAACATGTATTTAAACACAGGTTCAAATTTTATTCTGGGTTCAGATTTTATACTACAATTCAAATAAAAAAAGTGCAAATTGCGACAATCCGAACCCCGCACCAAAATGACCAAAGTCCAACGCACTTCATAACGACCAACATTTTCATCACTTTAAAACCTGTTGTGTACGCAAATACCACCATCAACTTGAGGAACTCATCCCATCGCAGTGCTTGCCGGCTTAGGGGGGTTAACCAGCATAATGTCGAGAAGTTCATCGATTGTAGTGTATTTATGATCTGGATAGAGCTGCGAAGCTTCAAGAATCTCTTCCTCTCCGCCTTCAAAGTCGATCACCGACTCACCCTTCACGTATGCAGCATGACGGATACACGGCCCAACATTTTGCGGACTTGGTAGGGCTGCAAAAGAAGTCAACCCATGCAGTTGGTACGCCATGATTATATATTGAAGTAAGAAGGTGGTGAAAAAGATAAGAATAGAGACAATCCATGAGTAGTTAAACAAACAGAATTTGTGGTCAAAAGTCAAAACGTTATGCGAGTACTTGATAGCTTTATTAAAAGTAGGAAAAGTTATATTTTGTTGTTCTGCATTTTGTCAAATTAACGGATTGGTATCTTAGAGAATATCAAACAGGAACTTAAGAGTTCAAAAAATGCCTTCACTTTCATAGCCTTGAAGCCTCTTTTGACACAGAAGAAGTCACCTTCCTTTCAATCTAAAAACATGTTAAAGGAATAAAAAAAATAAAAAAAACTAAACTGAGACAGAAGCATATTTTTTTCCCCTTAAGTACAGAGTACGGATTTGGTATTATCTAAACACTGATATACCGATCTCTAATTCAATAAAACAAACAAAGTATCAAAATGTAATTTTTCATTTGAAACTATGACTATTTTGAAAAAATTAATTATGCATATATATTTTTCAGAAAGTTATCACAATTAAACTTGGGACACTAATTAATGCTCTTTTTTTTTTCCCTAACAGTAAATAGAGAAAATGCACATGCTTTAATTGTAGAGTATTAACTAGCCAACTTACTCTCGGCCAGTTTGACGAGCTCCTCTGCAGTGACATAAACTTTTTTGAAAGTTCGACCAGTCTTCTTCTCCCACAGAGCAAATAACTCATGTGTTGTAATTATGTTCGCTCGTGGCCTACAGTTGACGATACGGTTGAGTGTTCTCGGGTCATTTGCTGCCTTGACTGTGTATGCACCAAGATCCTCTTCATAGACATAAGCCACTGAAAAGAGAAATTGAAAAGCCATTTACTTATAAAAACTCCCCACACAAACTATAGTATTTATAAATAAATTGAATGTTACAATATAAAATTTACTAAAAGAACACCTTTGACATCGCCAGATCCGAAGATAACGAGTTGATCTGGGTTCTCATGAGGGCAAAGCCTCTTATTCATGAAATAAGCGCCCAAGAAATTTGCAGAAACAAAAGTGTATGGGATCCCAGCTTCTTTTGCAGCCCTTCTCACTTCGCTCTTTTTGTTAAGTAATTCTTGGAAAGGTTTTAAAGGCTTAACTCGCTCCTCTTCAAGCCCAAAATCTGCCGGAATGAATCTCTACAACACAAAACAAAAGTTTTGTGACAAATACTTTGGCAGTTTTAACGTGCGAGATTTTTTTTCCCCTTTCTTTAGAGAATAGAATCTGTTATTATTTTTAATAAGAATAAGCTTCCTGACAGATTATAAGTGTTTGAGTTTCCTCCAACCATATTAGCTTATCATCTATATTAAGAGCATAAGTAGCTAAAAATGGGCAACTTTATTAGCTTCTTTATATACATAGCATAACTTAGCTCCTGGAAAAACAAATAATAAACTAGATACATCTGGCAATAACACTCCAAAATCATTACAAAAGGAAGAAAAATTCTTCACATCTTAAGATGATTGCCAATGCATCAGGCTCCAAAAACTGGAGATTTAGAACAACATAGTTTAAGTATCTTTTAAGACGATGCAACCATCACAAAACCTTATGATTGCTCCAATAAACGTATGAGATTTTTATCTATAAAAATAAAAATAAAAATTGTAAATGCACCTCTAACGCATCATCATTTACATGTTACACCCCAAACTTTTACTTTTGGCATTTAGAACCTAAATTTAACCATTCTTGACAACACAATCACAACAGAAGACTTCAATTTATAAAAGACAATTAGCGTCCAAAATGTCAAATTTAAAAAAAGCTCAGGGTCCAACTTGCCTACCAATAGAAAATATGGTGTGCATGTATGTAAGAATCCTGGGCAATTTCCTTCCATTAACTGACGGCCGTTAGCTACAAGACCACAATTGCAATATATTTTTAAGTTTAGGGTCCTATTTGTTAAAATTAAAAATCAAAGGGCTCAATTTGCCAAAACTGATAAGTTTATGGCGCACCGCTGAAATTAAACCATAAAAATCTAAAATTAAATTAAATTAAATTAACCCATAAAAAAAACCCTCAACGGTGCTTCCTTCCCCAACTAAACAATCGGATCGCACCAGAAGGGAAGGAGAAGCGCCGTCGGTTGCGAGGCTGGTCGGTCCCGACCCATGGCCGAGAGATCCAACTAGCTGGTCCCTGGTCTTTAGCAAGCTCAGATCCACCAACCACCAGGCACCCACGGTGGGCGGGTAGATAGATGATCTCACCGGAAAAGGATTTTTTTTTTTTGGTCACTCATTTCTATTTATCTCTAATAATGGAGTCCTAAAATGTTTGTAATTATCTCAGCTGAGCAGTCAGAAGTTAATCAAACATTTCATTAATTACCTTAATATTTCCAGCAATTTTGATGGCGTCTATAATCTTGAGTTGGTCAAGAACCTGAGGAAAAGCAAACGTGCAAATCACAACATCTACTTGCCGAAGAACCCCAACAAGCTTCTCTTGCTCCTCCAATGTTCCCTGCCCATAAATCATAAAATCAAACATTCATCAATTCAGAAATAAAAGTTACTAATTAAATACAAGTGATAAATTTGTGGGATAATTAATACATAAACAATGCTGACTCCGATGGACTCAAAGTGTTGAAGGATTTCCTTCTTAGGAGGAGGAGTTTCTGGAGTGAGATCTCTTGAATAAACGTAAGTTGGATGACCCAAAGAAACGCTTGCCTTCACCACATAACTCCCAATATACCCAGTTCCACCAAATACCAATACCTTGCTAGCTCCACTCTCTTCAGCCATATTTTGTTATGTTTCTCTCTCTATCACTCTCTTTCTCTCTCTAATATTTTCTTTTGTTCTTTCATTCTACAGTCTCACTCTATGTATTAGCTATAAAAGCGCTGGTTATGCTTTGATCGGATCGGAAGTGAACATTTTCGGCTCTTTTATTTTACAGATTTAAATTTTAAATTTTAAATTTTTATAATAAAAAATTTTTAAAAAATATTAAATCTAATTTTTTTTTATTATAATAAAAAAATTTTAAAAAATATTATATCTTAACTTAAATTAAAAACTTGAATCTAACTCTTAAAAAATGTCATATTCTAACTCATATTCGTGAAGTCAACTGAACCGGACCTTTATTTTAACGCGATTGATCGTACCAAAAAAGGACTGTTTACGTGTATGCTCTAGATTTGTCCACTAAACACTTTCGTTACGTGGCAAATGCGGAATTTTCTTATCATATCGTAATCAATTACGTCAGCATCTATTCGGGTCTTTTTTTTTCTTTTGCTAAATGTGATTCCCTTCTATTCGGGTATTTTTTAAGTTTTCCCAATCACAAATTTTTTGTTAATAAACTCAAATCATAATTTAAATATACATTCGTACTATTAATCTTACCTTACCTTTTAACTAAAAAAAACGTAAATTTTTTGAGTTGAATAAATTTAACATCGCATTTAAATTTTGTTAAAAAATTAAGCATTAAATATATTTTTTAAAGGGAAAATGTCATTCCAAAAAATAAAGATACACATTAAATTAGACACAAACACGCAAATAATCAAAGTATAATGTATAAGTGTATTCGACCGTAAATAATGACATGATCTACGGGTAAATTCATGTAAAACGCAAAGACAAACACATATGCGAGATACAAAATAAAAATCTAACTTGAAATACAACTATAGAGTACAACAAAGGCTCTTTCAAAAGGACCACTACAATTGACGGAGAAGTCCATCCATAGCACTAGGGTGGGTCACTCACAATACTGAGTAGGATCAAACCTACTAGACTGTACCAACCACCACCCTAGAAAGGTGAGACAAGTTCTTTTGCTATTACACCTTAAAGGATGAGACCAACTACTACCCTAGAAAGGTGAGACAAGTTCTTTTGCTATTACACCTTAAAGGATGAGTTCATCTTCAGTATTAAAAACATGGCTCATCTGGCCCCGTTTATTTCACTGATTCGAGTTTTGTTACTATTAAAAGCTCTCAGAAACAATAATATCTAACTTTTTTATTACAGTAAAAAGCTCTCACATAAAGTTACATCTCAATTCGAATTAAAAACTCAAATTAACGAACTAAACGGACCCCTTGTAATTTCACCTTTGGATGAGCGAACTCATAATTTTACCATAAATAAACCAAAAAATAAATTAAATGCGTTCAATCCCTAAGACTGGCCCTTTTGCTGGAGAAAAAAAAATACATAGAAGAGGCACCTCTAATGAAACTAATGCACTGTGAGGAAGAAAAATTTGGGGTGGTTGATCACTAAAGTAAACTTAGTTCTAAATAAGTGGGTTTTGTTTTGTTAAAATAGTGGAATTTTTTGGGCTAGTGTGTTGTTATATGTGCAATATGTGTGGGTAGAATCGAATATGCTTCTTTATTGTTGTCAATGTATGAAGTAGGGTCCTTCTTTGGTACTCACCCATATATGCTTCTTTTGTTCTTTTATCAATTGTTTATTTTCTATTAAATGTATAATAAAGTTGTTATATTTTTTTTCTTACATGTGAATTAAAATTAAGTGGTTTTATTGACCTAAGATCCACAATTTAAAAATTAGATTGCATACTTTTTTTCCCTCTCCGCCAATAAAAGATGCTTCCTACAAAGAAGAAATGATGTTCTACTATTTGTTTTAAATGGTTTTTTTATTTATTTTTTTTTTATAAGCTTGATTATCCATAGGTTCTTTAGTCCTTTTGTTTTGGAGAAAAGCTTGATTTTGGGTCCTTTTGTTTTGGAGAAAAACCTAACTATGAACAGGTTCTTTCTAGACTTTTTTGGTTTTGTAGAAAAGCCTAATTATGGATAGGTTCATTAAATTTTGCTTATTCTTGGTGAATTTAGACGTATGAATTTTTTTTCATATATTTTATGTTGGACTCTTAATGTCCGTTTAAAAGACATAGTGAAAACGACATTTATTCGTTTGTTTATAACTTAACTATTTGTGTTAATCTGAGTAATAAAATTTGAGACATTTAAAGAGTTTAAGATTTAAATTTGTATAATTTTTAGTACAAAGATAGATTATAAAAATTAGAGAAAAAAGTTTATGGACCTCTATTTAATTTAACTCTTATAAGATTGTCGAATAACCCTAGATTTTTGCAAGAAATCCGAGATTGATGACAATCGCTTGCATTTACGTTGCCACCTTTACCGTTCTTCTTGGAGGTACATAGATATATTCTTCAGAAAATAAGAAAAGAAAAAATCGAGCATCTTGGACCAAACTTTTCCAAAGTTCCATTATCTTGTCGGCCATAACACAAAAAGCAAAGCAAGCATTCCTGATTCTGTTCCACCATTTGAAGGGTCCCGAGTTCACAAGCACATTTATCTATTGGTCGCTTTCATTTATTTCGACTTTCTAACGGGAACCCGAATTTTTGGGTAAAAGAAACGACATGTGAAAAAAAACTGTAAAGTAAACAAAGAGGAGGGAAAAAATTATTGATTTTTACTAGTGTTTGGATGTTCAAAAAACCATAAGAAAACGTTCGAGGAATAATGAATCAATTTTCATTTTATATCTTATTCTTCTCTTTACTCGGTTTCGTAATGTGAGGTTTAGGTAAAATAAATAAATAAATAATTAAATTAGAAGTGAATCTCATCGTTGGGGCTGAGCTGAGGGCTGTGATGACCTCTGAGTCATTGTTGTTGGTGGTGGCGCGAACAATGGCGATAGAAGGTTCAATGATCTTGATCGACTCACCGGAGACACTGACGAAGATGGAGCCGTTCGATGATTCGTTTTGTAATTAACGACAGCATATGATCAATTGAAATTTCGTTTTCCTTGTATTTTTTACGGAAATTGAAATCCACAATTTTTTCCCTAGTCAGGGGCTACCGTGTGTGTTTTGTAGTTCTTTTCTAAATTTTAGGTCTTGAATCGATGACTTGTTCTCAAAGTAGTACCAAACCAATTTATTCATTAATTGTTGTAATTAGGGAAATTTCCCCATGAATTATTTTTAAAGTGTGACATGCACGTGTCCTCAGAATGTCTTAGATCGCAGATATTCAAGGTTCTAGACACCTTTCAAGCCAAAAAAAAAAAAAAAGGCTCTAGACACCTTAATGGCGAAACCACTAGAGGATTCTGACAAGACAAGATGAAAATTGAGTATGAAACATATGTGTACATGTGAAAAATATGAAACCCTCAACTAAGAGAATGCCATGTATATGTTTCTAGAATGATCATCAGGGAATACGAAAGGATTTTCTAATCAACCCCTTGTAAGGGTTTTGTGAAAAAAAAAAAAAAAACAAAGGAATCCTGAGATATTTCTGGATACCCAGGCAAGAGTTGGCGTGTCTTAATTAGAGTGGATATGAGGAGTCCCTCTGATTGAATCCCTAACCTATAAACAAAATGTTAGATCATACATTTATCATCCATCCTTTTATCACCTCAGTGAAATTCTGCCAATTTTTCCTCTCGCTATTGTTTGCTTGATTTGAGCGTCGAATGCCTTTCGCAGATAAAACTCCGGTGCCCTCGAAAGCGGAGCAGTTGGGAGCCACTAAGAACAACAGAACAAGTAGAGAAATACTAATACCGAGAAACCACTCCAACAAAAGTTGAGCACTCAAAACCATTAATTTAGGGGTCGTTTAGTGTGAGAATTTAAACCATGGTGATTCTAATCATGATTCTAAAATTCGAGCACGTTTGGTTCATAAATTCAGAACCATTCTCATTTTACGTGTATTTTTTTGTGAGAGAAAATACTGTAGCGAATCACGAATCATGATTCGAACCATGACACGAATCCATCTTCCATCACAATGATTCAGAATCATGGTTTCAATCACCTTGAATCAAAAGAGATGTGGTTTTAGAATCATGATTTGAGCTAATTTAAAACATCACATCAGATTCTGAATCATGATATAGAATCATCTAAACCAAACACTGATTCTGAATCATGATTCAGAATCACTGTAAACAAACACTGATTCCGAACCAGAATATAGAATTATGATTTTAGATTCATCTACTAAACGCACCCTTAATCATTTTGATAAATCACACTCTCGCAAGAATTATCTGAATCACAATCTCACATCTCATATTAAGACATAGATAGGATCATACAGTTTATTGAATCACATTAATCTTACATCTCATATAAGACCTAGATATGTATGATCATACAGTTTAACATACATGCACTTGTGCAAGAAGTTTAGAAACAGATCATACGAATGCAGCGCTCGCAGGCTTAGGAGGATCAACTACGAAAATGTCAAGACGTTCGTCGATGGAAGTGTATTTATCATCTGGATATAGCTGCGAAGCTTCAAGAATAGCATCTTGATCCCCTATTTCAAAGCTCATTAACTCACCCTTCACGAACACGCTATGAAGAATTGATACCGGTATGTTATCCGGATCTGGTAGGACTGCAACAAAAATCACCCCATACAGTTAATAATCAAGCAATGATTACATACTTAAGCCAAAATAAATAAATAACTGAAAGCTAATTACATCACTTTTTTTTTTAATCTCTACGAATTTAGGTGCCTTTTCCCCAGTTTTCCACAAATTTGATTCGTAAAATTCGTTTTCCCAACATAAGTAGAATGTTTTCAAGAAAGGCAATTCTATTTCTCACAACTCTTTTAATTCTACACACCCACATAATTTTAAAATTATTCAAAATTAAATTTATTTTTAACACCGTATTATTTTAAAATTATCCTTACTATTTCATAAGATTTTACTTTTCTTTTTACACTCACTATTTCATTAATTCATTTTAATCGGTTACTTATATTCTCGTATATAAAGAAAATGTACTATTCTATTTTTTCAGAAAAATATTGGATATTTATATATAAGTTGATAAAATGCGACTACTCAGTTTGATCACAAAAATTAGATCGTAACTAATTATAACGATTTTTTCGTGGTCGTGGAGACGAATGCTAACTGGAAAAAATTAAGTCTAATTTCAAATAATTTAAGGTCTCGTTCCTTTCGCTCATTAGAATTGAGAATTTAAGTTAAAAATTATATTCATGTGAAAGAAAAAACTGTAACAGAAAAAAATTAAATTTAAATTTTGTAACAGAAAATATTGTAACAAAAACTTGAGTTTATTTTGAACTAACGAAACGAATAGAGTTTTACTTTCTGAGAGTTTGATCAGCTCTTCTTCAGGGACGTAAACTCTATTGAAACTTCGACCAGTCTTCTTCTCCCACAGAGAAATCAGTTCAAGTTGTGAAATTATGTTTTCTGGCGGCCTATAGACGATAATATGGTTGCATGTTCTTGGGTCATTTGCTGCTTTGATTGTGTATACAGCAATATCTTCTTCATAATTCAAAACCGCTGAAAAGATCAGATCAGACAGAAAATTACAATATACACAAAGTAATTTAGATAAAAAATTCCAAGGACAAGAAATGTTCTAAACATTTACTTGTTGGGACACGATTTGACTGTAGGAATTAGAAATTTTTATTGTACATTTCTAAACAGCAGATCACATCAAACTCATATTACAATCGGAAAAAAAATGTAAATATAATCTGTTGCAATGAAGATCTTATTGTCTTAACACTTCGCAATATTAGTAGGATATTTACTATCAATTAGCATAAGTACCCTTTTTCGGGTATGAATAGTTGTAACATAAGATTTCATAAACATATATATATATATATATTTGGTAAATTAAAAGATTTTGTAAATATATATATATATTTGCTGGAAAGGTTATATAACATTTGAAGTATATAGAAAATTGTTAAAATATAAAATTATTATTTGTTTATCTCTTAACAACTTAAATTTTTAAAATAGATTGATAAATTAATATAGTATCAAAGTGAGAAGTCCTGAATTTAAATCTCTATAATTACACTTTTTATTTTTATATCTCAAACTTAAATATTCACGTAGTATTCTAACAGTTTAAGTTTTTTGGATTGATTACTAAACTAACAAAAATACCTTTGGCATGACCAGTTCCGTATACAACGACGTCGTTTGGATTGTCATGCGGATGAAGCAAGTAATTCACAAAATAAGAACCGAAGCAATTTGCAGAAACAAAAGTATAAGGGATCCCAGCTGCTTCTGTAGCTCTTCTCACTTTCCGTTTTTTGTCGAGGAATACTTGGAAAGGCTTCAGAGGATTCACTTTGTCTTCTTCAACCCCGAAATCCGATGGAAAGAATCTCTGTCATACACAAAATAAATGATAATAATGTTTCCATAAAGAAATGATGACAGACTATCACATGACAGTACCCACCAAAATTATTGCTCTCATTATTTTTAGAGTTTATTATTCGGGAACTTCTACAAAGTACAAATTCTTGTTTTGTTTTGTTTTTTTTTTGTTTTTGTTTTCCTATTCATAAGATTTAAAAACTGTTGTATATTAGCCGGTGTTAATACGTGAGTTTTTATATGCAATGCACCCGTACATGATTATTTCTAATCAGATTAAACGTTTAAAAATTAAGTTTTTACTTATTTTATTAATTTGAGTTTAAAATTTAAGTTTTATTACAATAAAAAAATTATTAAAAACAGTCACATTTAACTTTTTTGTTACAGTAAAAAATTTTAACAATTAGGTGTTGGTGTGACTGTGGCATAAACTACCCAGGAAGCTGAGCGTGATAAATGATGGTTTTAGACTCAAATTTAAACTAAATCCGACATTAAAGCTAAATTTTTGTATGATCAGAAACATACAGACAGTAGTGGATTTGTCATTTGTGTAATTAGAAAAGCACAATATATAATTTTAATTTTTATATATATATATAAAAAATACACAATGAGTAAATTAGCGCATTTAAAATTAAACACATTAATTGTTAAAGCAGAAGTGACTATAACAAATAAAATTACATGAAGTGATATAACAACAAACTTACTTTTATGTTTCCAGCAAGTTTGATGGCATCAATGATCTTGAGTTGTTCAAGAACCTGAGGGTAAGCAAACGTGCAAATCACAACATCTATTTGCCGGAGAACGCTCACGAGCTTCTCTTGCTCCTCAACCCTTCCCTGCCCCGCCCGTCATGTTAATAAACAATTAAGACATAGTTAATTGTAGAAGAATGATCATCTTTAAACTATTTAGCCATCGCAGAATTCTCCTGAGATGATTAAAGACCCTATATCTAACAAATGTTCTTGGATTTCTGATGAGTTGTTTTTTCTTCTTTTTTCTTTTAAGAAAAAAAATAAAATAAAATGTTTGATGCTAGGCGAATTGAAAGCTAAACAGTAGTAATTCTGAGGATTTTCCTCTGAAAAAATAGATATATTTCCTATGTTATTTTTAATATGTGTGAGTCATTCAATGTGAATACTATGAGAAGATCATAAGCCGCCACAAAAAAAAAAAAAAAAAAAAAAAAACCTCAAAATCACCATCCATCTTTTCATAATTGTGTTAATTATTCTAGATTACCCTGTACGAAAGGGCTCGCCACCAAGAAAGTATAAAAGAAGGTTATTGAAGTAAAATCCCCATTAGTTGATACTTTTACCAATTTTAGGCAATGAGAGATCTCAATAAAACAATATATATTTCATTAGCTTTTTGCCAAGTTTTGTAAAGCTCATAGTTTTCTGGAGGAAGTGAAAAAAAAAAAAAAAAAGTGGTGAGTTTCACGAGGAGTTTTAATTGAAATTTTTTTTGTCAAAAAAAGAAGTGGTGAAGTACTTCCAACTGGAGATATAGAAGCGAAATTATATATTTGTAGCAGTCAGATATCAATGAGAGGGAAATTTTTGTACAGTGTTTTACCTCTGGGTGAAATTGAAAACATTAATTAGCTAGGAAAATGTATCACCACGTATGTAGGTTTTGAATTCACGTGCCAAAGAAAACAAGTACTGCAACCTCATTTACTTATCGAATTATAACTTTTTTTTTGTGTGTAATTACTCTTTTTAACCGTTAAATATAAATTAAAATCACATTAAATTAAAAAAATACGTAAAATAGATAATTTTGACACATATATAATGTTTTTATTTTTATTTTTTGTTGAACACATACCTAACAGTAAAAACAGTCTTTTCAATGGTTATTTTTTAGGTGCCTACTAGAAACTCCCTTTTTCTCATTAGTCTATATGTAAGTATCTAGTTCTAGCTAACAAAAAACTTGCGTATTTCGAAATAAATAGTCCGAGGACATTTCATCTCTTAGACGTTTGATTCATAAATTAAAATCATGAGATTAGAATTATTTTTGATTTACGTGTATTTTTTGTGAGAGAAAATACTATAACGAACTATGAACCATCATCCAAATTATGATTTGAATCCTCCAACCAAACATCGAGTTATCTCATAGTCCACTTTGCAGGAGAGGCCAAAATATGACCTGGCAATGTATATATGTGTCGTATGTGGTATTTGACCACCAAAACGCCAAGTGGCCAAGTATCCGAGTGATACGTCTACGTGGGATTCAAATCCTCTGTCTCCCTCTCTCTCGGTCTCCTCCAATGAATTTTTGACACGTCAGCTCAATTAAAGTACCACTGACAGACCCAGAACGAGGAATCTTCCGTTAATATTTTTTTAAATTAATTTTAAAAATTCTCCCGATCATTTTAACACTTTATTCTCTGAATTTTAAAAAATAACATTTGTTTCTTTCAAATTTTATTCTGTTAACAAGTTTTATATTTCTGTGACAATGAGTGACGAAAATCGTCACGTGTCAGGTACATAACCCATCTGAAGAGGATATTATCATAAATTAACTTGCAACAATATTAAATTATTAAAAAAAGCCAAATCCATTAAAAACCCCATTTTAACATGGCTATTCGAGTTCCCCAACCAGAGACCAATCTCCCACAGATCAAAACTAAGATTAAAACCAATATGAAAAACATAAAATGATTCCAACAACAACAAAAAAAAACCTTGAATCCACCGTTTGTATTGGCGGCATAGGATATTTGTGATGTTGAATTTCTATCCTCCAAAGATATTGCATTAGCTGGACAAACCATTTGACAAGGCTTTGAGCAATCAAGAGGACAATCCTCAGGATCAAATTCTGTTAAGAATGCAGATCATAAACTCAGAACTCATTTTTCGTTCAATCTTAGCCTAAGTTGGTTTTGGAAGAAAAAACAAGCTTGTTCTAAAGCTTATAAAAAAATCCCAAGACATTCCAGCCTTGCGAAAATGAAGATCTTCATTATCATTAACACTGATCATTACCCAAGGCCTTGGAAGATGAAAAATCTCTGTGGCTGCTTCAATTCCCTCGTTCACCGCACTCACAATTGATGCATCAGCAGCACATTCTATGCAATCCAATGTTTCCAAACTTTATCACTTACTCTATCTTAAACCCAAAACAAAACAAAACAAAAAAAAATAAAAATATATATTAATATATCTCTCTCGGTTCAAGAGTAAAAAAAACAGAAATAATAAAAAATTATTAAAAATTATTTTTTATTTCTCTTTTATTTTATATTAAATTAAAAAAATTTATTTTTTTTATTTTTAATAGTGTCAAACACCATTTTTTTATTTTTTTATCTTTAATAATGTCAAACACTATTTTTCTCTTATTTTTATTTTTTTTTTTTAAAAATGTGAAAAATAAAAACAAAATCTAACTCCAGACGTGGCCGAAAGCTTTTTGGAAAAGTAAACTCCGGTTTTTTATTCTGTTAATTGTCTTTCTAATTGTGCTGACGCGTCAAAAATTCATTGGGGAAGACAGAGAGGGAGACAGGGGAAGGACGGCATGCACGTGAATGTAGGCCGGTTTTTGTACAGCGACGATTCACAAAAGCCTTCGCCTTGATTCCGCGCCAACGGGTTAATTTCATTTGTACAGAATTAAAGATATTTGAGATCTCCAATTTTCAATTTTGACGAATAAAAGTCTTTAAAAATCAGTACAATCATGATCGAATAGCTCATGAATATTCATGAATGGACAAAATTTGTCCAAAATTTTTAAAATCCACCCCCATAATTTGCGTTAGTTTGCAAGTGGAACTACCAGAACTTTAAAAATTTTGACATTTCATACCCTACGTGTCATTCATTAATTAATGTCCGTTATTTATTGGACAGTATTATCAAAGATCGAAAAAAAAATTTAGAATCTTACACGCCAAAATTAAAAGTTTAATGTGCAACATGCAATTAATGATAATTTCAGGATGCATGCTAAGTTTAAAAATTTTCAACATGCAAATAACGATAAAATTCCTAAGCACTTTGCAAGATATTTTTCCTCCAATAATGCTTGAATTGTTGGGAAAATTTGGATTTCATTTCTAAAGAAAATCCGCCAAAACAGCCTCAGAGACAAAAGCGGTGATAGAAACAAAATCCCAATTACAATTTACATCAGACTCAAAATGAAACAAAGAACCAGTTAAGCGGTGGGCGACCATATACCCTTGCTATGAGACATGGCCGTACCAAATTACATATAGAACTCGGTCGTTATATATTGCTGTCAGGATAGGGTCAAAAAGACACAGAAAATAAAATAGAATAAAATAAAAAATAAAAATAACTGAAATGTTCTATAGAAAAAGGAAATAACCGATGCGTTTAGAATTAATTTTAAAATAATTTTATTTTTCGTATGAAACTTAAAATAAAAACGTTTTCAATCTCAGATAAAAATTATTTTTAAAAATGCGTTTGATAATTTTATTAAAAGATTATTTTTAATATAAGAAAAAACTGACATTTAGTTATACAATTTTTATTTTTAATTTAAAAGCATTTAATTAGTTCATTTAAACTCACACTTGCCAAAAAAAAGACATCCACCCAAAACTGAAAATGAAAAACAACTTATATTCATTTTCAGTTTTTAAGTCATTTTACACTAAACTGAAAATCATTTTTGTTTTTGTTTTTTTCACATTTTTTCCTCCAAATGCGTTTTCCTCAATCTCTACTTTTTTGTCTCAGAAAACGTGAAAAATGAAACCGGAACTGATACCAAACACGCTCAACGATTCACTCTTTAAATGTTTCTACAGTCTACACATAGATGACTGCAAAATTATTGCAGATCAGAATTCAAAGAAAGAAGTTTTCAGATGAGCCATATAATATCGTATCCCTATAAAAAGGTACAAATTCACTGTTTTAAAAGAAAAGAAATCAAACTTGTCATGTGTATCAAAAGACTTGGTTAATATTTTGATTCATCCTCACAAATAGATTGCACTTCAATCCCCGTTCAAAGTCCAGGGCACACTTGGTAGCTACAATCTTAGCCGCAAAGGCATCGTTCATCTTGTCAACTAGATTGCACTTCAAGTTCACTCTTTTTTGAAGTAACATTTCCACAAACTTCCAAATCCCAACGCAGTGCAGCTTCTAAGGATCTTTAGTTCTGTAATCATTAGCAACCAACATTACACAAATAGAATCCACTAATTTAGAGAATCCATAAAATTCACTATCAACTATTTTTCACATTAAAGTTAGGATAATGCTGATGAAAGTTACGTATGCCAAGGCAGGCAGAAATCATCATATATAACCAGAAGAAAAGGGAGCCCAAAAAAAAAAAAAAGGTGCAACACAAATAGACACTTTCAACTCAAGTGATCTCCATGCATTTAGTGATTTGCTAGGAGAAGATCTAAAGCAATTTGGGATTTCCTTTGGGTCATCATTTCCTTTCAAGACCATTTTTCATTTCAGAACTTGGGATAGAAACGCAATTGGGTTGAGGGTTAAATGCTTCTTAACTAACCGAATTCTTATATCATGGCAGTACAGCAGAACCAATCTACTCGTCCTACTTACCGAAGTTTGGAGGATTTACCAATGTCTTAAAAAGTTCTCTCTTGCTCAGCCAAAGGTACTCATCAATCTAACCCAGCATTCTATCAAGTTGATAAAAATCCTCCTAAGCTACATATGTCGACTTCATTCCCCAAGTATATATCTGAAGTTAATTGGGCAGTCCTTTCACGGCCTAACTTTGGTAGCACAACAGAAATAACACAACAACATTCATAGGCAAACTAGAGTAAGCACTTCATATCATCACAGAGCTCAACCAACAATACCAATACTTCAGTAGTAAAATTCTTCACAGTTCCTTACAATTGACTATTTTCCAATTAACATTTTTGGCGCAATCCCTATCATGGTAATACCTCCTACCTTATGGAAAAAAACAAAAACGTGACTCCTTCCTTTCTCTTGAATTATATACGACCAATTTCAAAGGGCCTCTGCTAGGACGTGGAATGATATTGTATCCTCCTAAACTTTGCATAAAACCTAAAGAGAATCACATCCATCATCATCTACGATATCTGACATCCTCGTATTAGGTTCAGTCTGAATGGATAGAATAATTAGTGAAAACATATATCCAAATTTTCGGTCTTCATCAAGTAGAGACCCCTAAGGAGAAGTATAACAAGCCCCAAGGCTGAACTCAATTTAATACCTCATACTTATTACATTCCCATCCCTGCATCCTCTACAATTACTATCCAAAATTCAGGCTATCAGAATCAAGGTCAGCAAATGTCTTATTTTTCTAAAACTAGCATCAACAACAAAGGCAAAAACTCTATTTCCGCACAAAAGGAAATTAAGACAGAAAAATAAGTAGAATATATTGGCCAATTGGCAGCAAAATCTACATCTAGTATATCATACTAATTTCTATTACTTTTCTGTTTCCTTTTCAAAAGTAATATTGCGAACATATTCAAGAGTGGTAAATATACTCTTCAGGATTGTCGAATTGCAACCATTAGTTCTCTCAAGAAATTCTTTGCCCTATATCATAATTTTTCTTGCTCTAGTTCCAAAATTGCCTAATCTAAGAATTGGCCGACCTAAGGCTTCCACAGAAAATCAATTAGAAACAAAAACAATTGAGAATTATGATATAAACAGGTGTTAAATTAACAGATCATACGACAATTCAACAAAGCAATTGAAATTTACCCAACCAAAAAAAAAAAAAAAAAAGAAAAAGAAATTAGGCGCAAACAAAAAACAATCTTCAGACCAAATTATCCAAATCATACTTTCCAATTGCTCATACATCATTATAAAGGAGAACATAAAAACAATCAATTCAATCAAGATTCCGACTATTTTACATCTCATTTCTTGCACTTACGATTGATCGTGATCCTTGGAGCAACAACCCATGTCGCCGCCTCTGTCGTGGTGGTTGTGGCCGTCATCGTCGTCGTTTTCTTGGTCGCTGTCGTCCTCGTCAAAGGGCTTTTCCTTATGGAAGATGCAGCATTTCTTCGAGCTCTTCTTCTGCATGAACTCGTTGTCCACGGTGCCTTCTTTCCACGTTACCTGCTTCTTTTTCCGATTAAGGCGCAGCGTTAGGGTTTTCGGCTGTTGCGTCTGTGACGATGACGACGACGACGACGATCCGTCCGGATTGTCTAGCGTTATGGTCGTCGAGGCGGTGGCGGACGACGGTCGGACTGCTGCTCTGGAGGCGGCGCTTACGGGTCTAGCCATGGCGGATTCTATTCGCTTCTTCTCTTCTCTATTTTTCCCTTTTTTTCGTCTTGTTTTCCTTTTATTTTTTTGGGAGTTTCTCCCGTGAGACAAGTAGTTTGGGACTCGGTGGTCCATTTGGCTTTGACGTGGATTTTCTGTGGGACCCACAAATAATTAAAAAAAGAAAAATTTTGGTTTCATCTCTTCCAAGTTCTAAGTTCCAACGCCGTCGTCACCATTTCTCCTTCTAGCCAACACAACAACAAATTTTTGTTGCTTCTCCCTGCAGAACCCCAATGCCATCATCACCATTTCTTCGCAAACTCAAGCTCCTTGCCGCGAAAACCAACGACGGCAAGCTCAACCCGCCTCCGTGAACGGAGCTCGGCCCCACACACTTAACCCACCCACGCCACCCAACCTCGGTGAGTCCATACGTATGGCGCCACCTCAGATCCGTGATCCAACACCGGCGTCGGCCACGATCGATCTCAAAAAAGGAAAAAAAAAACCATTTTTGGACAAAACTAAAATCAATAGAATAAAAACCCATTTTTAAAATTAATATTAAAAAAAAAAACCTAAACCATATGTTACAAATCCATTTAGAAAAACTAGTATAGCATTTGATTCTCTGTTTTTTTATTTTTTTCAATTACGAACCTCAAGGAGGAGAAAGGATTTAGATGGTGGGTCCCACGGGTAAAGGAAGTCAAAAATTTTTTAAAAAAAATACTTTAAAATCTCGTTTATTTTATTAATTTAAATTTAAATTTTAAATTTTATTATAATAAAATTTTTTTAAAAATAATTATATCTAATTTTTTTATTATAATAAAAAATTTTCATATAAAATTAT